AGCTTGCATTCAGCCGTTTCACACATCCAAATCTGTCAACTTTGTTACTTGTGACAGGCTGGAAAACAAAAGCCGTGTCCACGGACTTTTTGCCAAAGAAGGAAACCGACTGGTGAGATACACTTCTCTTTCCTTTGTGTATTTTCCCGTTGGGATGCTGGAGGCGCACGTCTCCAGGCAAGCAGCTTTAAAACATGTCCGAGAAGTTTTTGAACGTTTTCAGGCTCAGGGGGCGAGCGTCGGGCTTAGAAGAGCTTGCTCCTGCTCCACACAGCTCAAATTGTTATATACATGCACCCGTCAAAAAACAAGATGGAACCCCCGAACCCCCGAATGCACACACGCACTCGAAAACAAACGGCCAAACATTGTTTGACACTCTTGTGGGACACTTTACACTCTTGTGGGGGCACTCTTGTGGCACAGTCTTGTGGGACACTCTTGTGGGGCACTTTTGTGAGACACTCTTGTGGGATACTCTAGTGGGGCACTCTTGTAGGGCACTCTTGTGGGACACTTGTGTGACACTCTTGATGCAGACGCTCTTGTAGGACACTGTTGTTGTAAGCAGCCGTTGGCACGCCAATCCGCAGGTGCAGCGGGATTCCCTGTGCCTGCCACCGAAATTTCAACTTCCACACCTCCAAGCACAAAGTGCTGCGCCTGCCACGAAAAGGTACTACGTCACATCTTCCCGTTTTCCATGTCACGCGGTTGGAGTGGTTTCGACACTTCCCGAGCAGACTTCGCACCAACCAAACTTGCAATTTTGGCTGAGACTTGTCAGGACAACACAGCTTCGAGGCAAGGCCCTCAAAGCGAATCCCAATGGAGCAGCGACACTCAACACCTCCGAACGACCACCCTGCGAATTCCAATCCCAATAGCGCAGCGTGCGCTGCACCTGCGCAGCAAAAATAGTTTTCCACACTTCAAGACGAATGACACATTTCAATACATTTCAGGCTTCCGTGCAAAACCTCCTACAAACGGCAGGCCTTATGGATCACATGCGGGTGGTTGCGGACGGTTGCGGCTACGAAACCCACGTCACGCGAACCCCAGAGATAAACTTGATCCTTTTCTACACACTCGGGAAAAACGACACATTATTCGCGCTTCGTGTGAGCTGTTTAGCCAGATTTGCGTAATACTGTGAACCCTCCCACGGCCTTACACACAAAAACCACCACCTTCGACTCAGCCCACTCCTGGCAGTCTGGCATTTCATGGCTTTTGCTTTGTTTACTCTTGTCTGTGGTCCCGGAAGCAAGGTCCTAATGCAGCAGCAGCAAGTGCGCTGCGAGAAATTGCTGGCCTTGTCTGAGCCTCAGCACGATCGAAGGCTTTCAGCAAGGCGACATGAAGGCAACAAACGCAGTACATAAGGATGTAGTTTCAGATTTTGTTGCCAGATGCTGCCAGACAATCTCTTGACTTGTAGCGCTGTCGCTGCATTCTCTTCTCCATCTTCCTTCTTGCATTGAGGCCCCTCTTGCTTCTCTTCCGTCTCGCCAAGACAGCCAAATGGATCCTCAGGGCAAGATGACCCTTTTGCCACCTACATCTTGGGGTGGCTTCGAGCCTTCGGTGCCTGCAGCTCTCAGTAACGTAGTTGTGTACATCGCTTGATGCCCCAGAACTTGAAACGATTCACTTCAGCTTGGAAAGGTGTCATTGAAGTAAAACTGGTTTGTGTACTGCTTGGCCTCAGTTGCCATTCTTTGCACTATGTGATGCATCCACTTGGGCAGGAACATGGTGCAGACATCATGAGCGACAAAGCTGGCGCTGCTGATGCCAACCTCCCAACTGTTGCGGAGAAGGCCGCTGTCGACCGTTATGCTGTTCCTCCGTCACCTGGACATGAGACAACATGGTGTGTGGCAGACTGATGTGATGTTTGGAGCTGAAGTCGACGGTGGCTTCAAGGACAAGTTGCTCATTGGATTGCTAGTTCTTGTGCCAACCTGGCTTCAGAGGACAGTTTAGAGACGGTGTTGGACACACAGTCAACTGAGCTTGAACCATCAGAAGCTCAAGATTCTGATAGCAATGGCACACGAGACAAGGCGAGGCTTCTCAGTGTAATGTGCACACAAGTCAAGTGCTGCGCTGTGCTTTAGAGGCTGAGATGTGTGAAGACATTAAGGTGGGGCTAAAGCCGATTTATTGAAGAGCAGGTTGAGTGGTTCTGCAGTGCAAGGTAAGCTTGGACACGGTCCTTGACACACAGTCCACCGTTGAAGCAGATGTGGCAGAGGAAGCCGCCTCGCTTGATTTCCCCTTCCCTGCATTATTCATCAGCCTAACCTTGCCTCTGTTGATTCCAGACGTCAATGTGTCACATTTACCAACGCAGTCACAAATCCGATCCCTGACAGGATCTTCCAATGCCGGAGGCTTGCCCTGTAGCGTGAAACGATACATATATAATCATATATATACATCTATATGGAGGTCCATGAGCAATAATGAACAAGTGTTTGTTTGGCGCTGGAAGCTGAGTCCGAGCCGTGGCAACAGGAATTGGATGAAAGCTAGGAAGATCTAGGAAGGTAGCCATAGGTAGCCTAGAGCGAAGGAAGAATCATATGTTCCTTCAGGTGAAGCCGCGTTGCCAGCGCCAGAGCCAGGGACAGCACGAGAAACGACACACACACACACAGAGTCAACTTAAAGGAAACGGGGAACAAAGAAGGTAAGGGCCAAGGGGCCCGACTAAAGGGGCCTTACTTTCTTTCTTTCCTCGCTTTCTATTCATGCAGTCGTTTGTCCTCTGTCGTCCTCCAGTCCAGTATGCTGTGAGGACGCAAGGCCAAGAAGTTAGAAGAGCACAAAAAGGAGGGACGGATGAGCCAGACCGGTGTCATTAAGTCGGTCGCAGTCCGTAACAGTGGGAGGAAGCTTCATCTCACAGAACTTGTCGGCAACGCATACCTCCGTGCTTGCCTCAAGAGTGGAACCAGTTGATGAGGGCAAGCCCTTGTGCATGTTCAAGGGAGGCTCCCCCTCTACTTTTCCATCAGCAGTGGACCTCAGCCTTTTTTGCTGCGAGGGGTTTTGCTGAAAGCTTCTGTCCAACGCTTCCCCAAGAAGTGCTTGCATGTCTCCGTGCCAACCGGTGCCTACAGCACGTCTCTACTTTACTCCCGCCCTAAGGTTTAAAGGTTTCGTTGCCGACGGTCCCTGTTCCTGTGAGGGTCAAGAGCCGAGGTTGGAGCACTGGAAAAATGAAAGGTGCGTCTACGAGCGCAAGTCTGGGTAAAGACCTCGGTTTCTGGCCCACACCAGTACTTTTGTGTGGACACCAATCTGGAAGAAGCTTCTACGTGCAGGTCTTCTGTGCCAACCCTTGCAGCGGTAGTTAAATGCCCTAGTACAGAGGAGTGTGGAGCCCACTTTCTGATTGGAAATGCACTTGTTACAGCTGTTGATTTCCCCATGCGAACTCGAATTTTTATAAAACTCAGGCAAGTCTCCACGGGCAAGGGGAAGCAAGGGAAGGTAAAGCAGGTGTGACACACATGAAGCTGGGGGCACTGGACCAGTGCTGGACGCGTTTCAGAGTGTTCAGACGTGACGTGTCTCCTTTTGCGCAGGCAGCGGGCAAGAAAAGGACATGGCACGAAGCAATTGCTTCTGAGAGTTTAGCCAGCCCTTCGCTTCCATCAATCTATGACATTGCAAACAAGCGCACCCGCCAAGAAGCAAAGACGAGCACAAAGCAGGAGAAGGAGAAACATGAGAAAAGGGACAAGAAGGAGAAAGAGAAGGTGCCTCACAAGAGCAAAACCGAAGTCCAACAGTCCCAGGTGACAGGACGTGGTTTGATGGGCGCTCTGGAGGCTGCGCGGGCAGAGGCTACGAAGATGCGAACCATTGCGCGCCCTTTCGCATCAGCCTGGGTCTTGGGCAGATATCTTTTGTACAGGCACAACTTGACTTGGCTAAAAGACCCAAGATGCAGGGCTGGGCTTGACGCTTCTGTGAGAGCACGCCGAATTGAAAGATTTAGGTTGGTGCGCATTGTCGGCAGAGGGCTTAGTATCCTTTGAGTTTAGGTTTTCCTTCACTTTTTTCACACCTACGGTTTGCAATCCCCAAGATCCGTTGAAAGGGCGAAGCCTTCGTTGGCTCGCATGGCTGCCGAAGCTGCTGCAGCAGCCATGGCCCTTTAGAAACCTGAAAAGACGTTTTGAAAAGGCAAGCAGTTCGGAGCCTTCCTGCAGCAGGGAGGAGATTCACAGTTACCTCCAAGGTGGGCAACTGCCCTACACCTCAAGTGAGTGGCCCAGTTTCTAAAACAACATGCCATATGTGCTAGTTGTTGTTGGTAAGCTTAGGAAAAGTGGAGTCGAAATAGGCTGGGCAAATATGAGTTTTCCTAGCTTTGCTGAAAACGCGAAAAGACTTCAGAGTGCTATGATTATACGATAAGAGTTCTTCAGGATACCAAGGCAAAAGAGCCAGCGCTGATCGGCCGAAGACCATTTCATTGCAGTGCGCTTTGCCAATTCAATGCAAGACAATTCAAGAAATGTGGACAGGTGAGAATTATTAGGATATATTAGGATACACAGATGTGGGACACACAAGCATGCACATGCCATGGTTTCCCTGCCCACATTTCCGATGCTAATCGTGCTCGAACCGTTGCAGAAGTTGATTTATCAACGGCCCGAGCTTAATTTCGAGTCTCGTGTTGACTTTCCCTGACTTCGCTCAGAGCGTGGGAGGGGATGCGGGGTTGGAATGAAAGGCGAGATTGGATGATTCAAGAAATTGGCAGTTGTAGAGCGTTCTTGAACTGCGGTGGCCGTGGTTTGTGCGGAGGGGCCTGCTTCATGCTAGATCGGCTCTGTGCCGGCACGTCCAACACAACGGAGGCTGGGTATGAGAAGGTGTTGTGACCCGTCGTTCAACATCTGTGCCGTTGCGTGGCGCTGATTGTGGATGTCAAAAGTTTATTGTTTTCAATTTCCAGGTGCTAGGCAGCCATGGCTCGTGCCCCCGATGTGAACCATTTGCACTTTGGAAGCAACATGGTGGATGACCGGTTTGAATGTGCAGCATCCTCATTTTATGTTCCTTTCCCCTCAAATACTGATCCAGAAGTCTCATAGGCTGAAGGCTCTCGAGTAGAGATGGAACGCTGACAGCACGCCAATCAGGCACAGTGTCAAAATAGACAACATCACGTGCACCTCAGAAAACTTTATCAGGGCGCGGCTCTTGGTTTACACTTCGTTTAGATTTAACTCCAGAATGTCGCCGTCAAGGCCAAGGAAGAGCTTCGAGAGAAGTTCGAGAAGTTTGGTGAGATTGGTGATGCAACCACCTTAGGACGCTGTCAGCTCCCCCTCAAGCTGATTGCCTTTGCTTTTGCGCCGAAGGTGTACATACCAAGAGATAGGAACTTCGCCTTTGTGCGGTTTCGGGAAAAGCGCTGCAAGCTTGGCTTTGGCAGCCTTGTGCATTGATGTTCGCAGCACTACGCAGCAACTTAAGGTGATGCGGAAGATGCAGCCGATGCAATGGTGAGCTTTTACATTGCATCCTTGTCATGCAAGTGATGATTGTATGCCATTGTCAGGATGGGAAAGATATCCTAGGGCAAGAAGTCAGAGTGTCATTGTCTATGCAGGCGCGCCATACATCTATATCTATGTAGAATCTTCGCGAGAGAGAGAGAGAGAGAGGGAGAGAGTCCCCAATAGCAGACTTTTAATTTGTTTCCAATAGCGATAGCCGCCAACAGCCTTTTTGCACAGCTGAGGCGAAGAAAGCCGCCGAGGAGCGCATTCCTGGGTTCTATTGGGGGTTGGCCGACTATATGTCGAAAGTGCAAGGAATATGCTGCGCAGGGAAGAAGGCGGCGATCACGTGGCCTTGGCAAATTGTAATACATTTTGTGTATATATATATATATGTGTATATCTTTTTTTTACTGCAAATATACACGTACCAGGGGGAGCTTCGTTGAAGAAGCCCTCGTACTATTCATTTGATTCCTAGATTTTTGGCTCTCAAGCTGGCTCTCAACTGTTCGCCTGCTTCCGAGGCTCTCGGCGCCGCAGGAGTGACTCGAGATCTGAGCAAGCAGCTCAGACTTTTTGGGTTGCTACTGCATGGTTCTTCTGTACCTGCCCAGGTCCTACTCAGAGTCACTTACCCAGTCTTTACATTTGGAAATTTGCTTCTTGACGAGTTGTATCAATGCTATTTTGTTAGGTCTTCATCACGCTCAAGGGATCGTCGGCGCAGAAGGTTTGATGGCGCAGAGCAAGTTGTCTTGGATCGACATTTTTGGAAACATACATTTTTTTTCCCTAATCCTACTTTTAAACAATATCTTTACTTATTTTTTCATTTTGGATCCTTTTCAGGCGGCGAGATTCTGGGAGCCGAACACGTCGCCGCCGATAGGTCCAGGCTGCAGTTTCCTTAAAGAATCCAAGCCCTTCGTTGCATGTAGCTTCCTGTTGCTACTTTAACTCTTATATATATATATATATGAATATACCTTGTTAGTATGATTTTATGATTTTATTACATATTATTGTCTACATTACTTATATATTGTACATAGACCCTACTTTTCCTCATCACGTTTCCCGTCCCAGCTCCCTATGGTGCCACATCAGACATGGCAATCTTAGCGATGAGTGCCGAGCTTTGAGCGGAGGTGTGCCGCGGCTGATAAATGGGCAGGAGACAGGGGACATGTGAGGACTTCAGCGAGAAAGCAGCGCATTCTTTTCATTCTTGGGTGCTTTTTCGGTGGAAGCAGTTCACAGTCGAGCCTTCTTCAGTCATCATGCTTGCTACCAGGCTGAACTCCTTTAGCTGCATCAAATCAGTCTACTAGATCATTGCCTGTTTAGCTTGAGCGGTTGTGGCACACTTTGCAGAAGAAACTGTAGTACATTCCAATTTTGAGCGATGCCATGCCACATGAGCTATGTTTGCAACGGCTGGCATTGTTACCAGAGGCTGGGCTATTGTACACTAGTTTCGGAGAGCTTCCACGAGTGCAGGCGGTCACCAGCATCTCTGCCCTAGAAACGGGTGATGTAGTTCTCTGTTCCAAGTCTAGCGTTTGGGTTTGAACCTCAGCTGTGAAGAGAGGAGCAGCGAAGCACCTTTTGAAGATCTTTTGAAGCAACATGTTGCGACATCCAGCTGTCTTATCTACATGTTTGGAGGCCATTGCTAGTAGGGTGAAGGCCATCGCTATGTGCCTTCCTCCCCTATTTCAGTCGTGCAAAGCTCCTGAAGGTCTTTCCTTCTCACTTTCATGGCCAAGCTCTTGCACAGGTCGAATGCGAGGTCGGGAAATGTCTTCTGTTCTTGTCATTGCAAGTCGAGTCACTAGGCAACATGCATTTTAGCGTGCAGACCTGAGATGTGCCAAGACTCGACTCAAAGAACTTTTCACAACATTTTCTGTACTGGGTGCGAAGACGTGCGGTTCGGTCTTGCCAAGTTTGGGTTCGCAAACAATCGCGGCGGGCGACCACGCAAAGAGCTCAGTTGGCCTTTTGCAAAACGATCTTCCTTTCCAATGCGAAAGGCTGGATGAGTCAGAGTTTGGTGGGATCCTGAGACACAGCTGAAGAATATACCGTGTATAAAGTGGATTTTGCTGGTCAACTCTTGAGACTGAGACAGGCACTTGCGGCGGCAGATCTTGAAGGAGGTACTGGCAGTGAAGTGGAACTAGTTCCTGCCTGCTAGGTAAGCGAATCTGCCAGGTGCGGAATGTTCAGGTTCATTTCTCCAATGTTCCCCTCTCAGACACAACCAACAGACACGGACAAATGCTGTGACGGCACCATGCAGCCTAGGTTCGAGACATCAGCAGTGGTGGAGACATTTTGCTCACTGCCTCTGATGTGGCGAACTTGAGCCTTGTTGCTGAATTCTTGCGCAAACATTGATAGCAAACATCGATGAGGATGGGTGGGTGAAGCAACTTGACGTCCTGACCAACTTTGCGCCTTCAGGTTTCTTTGAAACAGGACCGACAGAAAGCACTTCATGGTTGCTGTAGTGCTGTGGCATTGCTGAAAGGAGTCCCAGCTACTAGCGTCCTGGCGCGTGGGAAGAATGTTCTGGTGGGCTGTGAGGACTGCATTGCAGCATTCTCTCCTCCATGAATGCTTGGAAAGGGAACACATGGCATGTATGTTGACAGGACGGCATAGTTGCGGCCTCAGCTCGGTGCTGTGAGTGTGGAGCCATAGCGACAAGATGAAGCGAGTTCGGGAATGACGTAATGTGAGGTTTGGGAGCTATCACGTCGTTTAAGCCAAGCCACCATCCTGCGACGCATGGAGTTAGGCTCCGTTTGACATATCAGCTTTACTTTTCAATACATCCTTTGAGCAGTGCACAAATCAATGCCGACCCTTTTGCTTCTGTTGATTATCGACCTAGGCAGGATTGCACCATTCTAAGAGGCACTACATACCGCTTTCTAGAGGAGAATCCCGAAACAGACAGGCAGAATCGCTCTGACAGAGGCACATCAAAATGCCAACAGCTTTAGGGCACAGTATCAAGCACACTGTTCCAAAAATTGTAGATAGGTTTCAGCGCACCAGAAGAGTTGTAAACGGCGACGTTTTGCTGAAACATTCAGTGGTATCATATGGGTTGGTAGCCATGCGAAATGGTTCAAGACAAACTCAGATAAGTGGCGCCGCTGTCAAAGGACAGGGAAACCACAATTAGAGTAGCAACACAATATCAGAGAGGGAGAGAGAGAGGGAGAGGGAGAGAGAGCCGAGCAAAGGCCAAGTCACAAGTCAAGTCACGAAAGCTAGCATGCTAGCTGAGTTCTTCTTTGCTTTAGCAATGTTGTGGTGGGAGGGGCTGTGTGCCTTAAAGATTGATATATCAAGCTAACCCCCCCCCCCCCCGCGGTTCAACTCCCAGCTGCGCCGTGTAGGGGGTTGGTCGAACGTGTGAACGTGGTTGGTTGGGTGTAACGGTGGCTTGGTGTAAAGGGTGCTGCTGCTGCTGCCGCTCTGCTGCTTGCTGCTGCTGTTTGCTGCTGCCGCTGGTTGCCGCTTTTGTAGCTGCTGCTTTGCTACTTGTTGCGGCTTGGTGCTGCTGCTGCTGTTGCTGACGACGCCGCTGCTACTGCTGCTTGCTGCTTGCTGCTTGCTGCTGCTGCTTGCTGCTTGCTGCCGGTGGTGCTGCTGCTGCTGCGGCTTGATGCTGCGCTGCTGCTGCGTGGTGCTGCTGGCTGGCTGCTGGTTGGTGGTTGCTGCTGGCTGCTGGCTGCAGGCGGCTGCTGCTGCTGCTGCTGCTGGCTGCTGCTTGCTGCATAGGACTTGTACTTCACCGTTACAAGTTGTTTACCCCTATTTCTAACCTAATGCATGCATAAGCGGGTGGTAAATTTACCCCCCAGGCTTGCTATAACCATACACCGGCTATTTCCTCAAGACACTCTATTCCTGATACCTTTTACCAGTGCTTATCCTACACTACGGACGCCCTAGTGTATGCACAGTCCTTGTGATGCTTACCCCTCGTTCCGGCTCAAGGCATACATAAGCGGGGTGTAAATTTACCCCCCAGATTTGCCATAACCATAAGCCGACTATTTCCTCAAGACACTCTACTCCTTATACCTTTTACCAGATCCTACACTACGGACGCCCTAGTGTATGCACAGTCCTTGTGATGCCAGAAATGCTTACCCCTCTTTCCAGCGCAAGGCATACATAAGCGGGGGGTAAATTTACCCCCCAGATTTGCAATAACCATACACCGGCTATTTCCTCAAGACACTCTATTCCATATACCTTTTACCCGTGCTTCTCCTACACTACGGACGCCCTAGTGTATGTACAGTCCGTATGATGTCAGAAATGCTTACCCCTCTTTCCGACTCAAGGCATACAAAAGCGGAGGGTAAATTTACCCCCCAGATTTGCCGATCACGCATCTTCGTGCCTGCCAACGAGTGCACCCGGGTTGTTCCAATGTACCCTTCCCAGTCAGCGATGTCACATTTACATTCTTTAGCGCAAAGTATGTACATAGCAACCTTCCTCCCAAAACATGTCATCCCTACATGCTTTGCCGACTATGTAACTAGTACATCCGGTGCGACTCGGCTAGCTTTCGACCTCTCCCCCTGGCCTCAAGTTTATGTAGCTCCGAGGCCCTCAAAGAGCAACTGGACTTCATTACATAGTCTTCACGGGACAGCCTGGAAAGCTTAAGGCACCAAAAAAGTAAAAGCGATTTGTGCTTCGAACACATGCACTCCGAGCTGGTTGGTTTTCGCAGAGTGGCGGTGCTGGATGGGCTTGGGCCCACACCACTCACACCGTGCACACTAAGAGTTCAAATCTCGTCCTACATCTACAACCGTCCCACACTCCACACCTCAATGAAGTTTCCTCCACGACGTGAGTATGAGTTTGCACATGCTTAAGAATCCATTTCCCATTCCAACCACAGCATCGCTGCGCATGATAGAGCACCCGCCTGCCCTTTTCACTGCTCACATGTCCGGACATTACAATTCTTGCACAATTGGATGAATGTTGCAATGGCAGGAGTTCCCATTTTGACTTTGGATGCGGATGCAGAAGCTCCAGGCTTCTCCTCCTCCGTGTTGCGTGCAACGACAAGAAGCCATGATTGCTTAGGAGCCCGAGTGCTGGCAGCTGGACGTGGGCGATTTGCAGTGTGGGTCGGGGAAGGAGACTCAGAAGAGGCATGTGGCTTCATGATTCTTCTACCAACCTTTGGCCTGACAAACTAAAGAAATAATCCGGCCCATTGTAATCTGTGATGTAGGAGCGAACATGAGTTGCTTGGTTCAGTCGTGTCATGATGCAACTTCTTTGTTTTCACGAGCATGGCCTACGACCGAAACTGTCAAATGGTGGAGGTGCAATTGGCTTTTCATGGCAAGTGTGGTCCAGCGGCTGCGGCAGAGTCCTTGGCTTGTGCTCCTAAAAGCCTAGGAGCAAAATCAGTCATGCTGCTGCTTTTGTCTCTATTTAGCCTATCTCTCACAACCTACCGCGCTGAAGGGAACGAAAAAGAAAAACACACTTATTTTGACTGCAACTGATTTGGTGCTCAGTGTACGATCGCAAAGTTGATCACAGTGCCAAGACTGAGGTGAGATTATTACCTGGCACAACTGAGGCAGGGCTGAGTTGCCTAAAAGCTTCCTTGTGTTTCTGAGGGAAGGTTCACAGCTGAAGGCAACAGGCTGTGGGAAGCATGAATGCACGAAGGACCTGCTCGTGATACCAGATGCTTCACTGGATGCGGAGAATGACCTTCTTCACTCACATCCATCTTTCGGCCTGTGGGGGTTCCTAGGACGTCTTGTGAAGTTCAGGGCAGGTAGCATGGAATGCCAAACGTCAAGCACACTGCTTCCATAAGCCGATGGCCTCATACTTAAGTCATGAATGAAGTCTTAACTTCTTAATATTTTGGTCGTGGCTGTTTGAGGCTTTGCAGCGCTTGCCTGGCTGGGTTGTCCTTTGAAGTCAGCTTTTGACAAGGCTTTTGGACATTTGTATTGTAGAGTTGTCGTCAGGTGCAATGCAGGTCCTTGACCTCTGACCATCGGTCCGAGCTATCTTTCTTCCTTGTGGGTGAGTTGTTGCAGGCTTGTGACTCTTTGACAAAAGACATCGTTGAATTTGTAGACAACCGCTAAGGGTGTCACGCGACAATTTGAGCTCTTCAAGATCTCACCGCTGGAGGCCACGGTTTCTTACGATTTCCTGCTGGCAACACCACTGCAGATGGGCCAGCATTCTGCAGGTTTCTCTACAGTCAAAGATGGGGCTGCCAAGTCTGCCTCTCACTGGTCACATTGCCGCAGCAGAGGTGGGCGGAAAGGTTGAAGTGAGCTTGTCAAACTACGGGAGGACTCTTGTGCCAGGTGAATCAGGAGGAGAAGCAGAACTGTTTGACAGCAGCTGCTTCAACTTCTCACGTCGTTTCCGCAGCATGTCCAGTGTCATGGTCAGTGAAGCCAAAAGGACTTTTTGGTTTGGGTGACCCATGCAAGGATATCGACAACACGGATGCAGAGAAGAGGGAGAAGACTTTATCAAAATCCAGATCGAACAGGCAATTGTTATTGTTGTCTCAACCACAGCCAGTTGCCAAGAATCCAATGAATAGGCACATAAATGCATTCCGCGATCCCACCCAAGCGTTGGATGCTTGGGAAATGAATGATTCAACGCATCAAATCCATGTTTTGTATCGATTGATGCAAGCATATCTAGGTCCATAGCAAAATCACTTATTTAAAGACGCTGTAAATAAAGTGAATTTTCCAACGTTACCAAGACTATTTAGAACTTACATGTATATTGAACATAAGATGTAGTTCTATTTTCGATTGTTTAGTTTTTGTTTATCTAAAAAAGGACAGTATGTATCTAGTTTTGCTGCTCCGCAGCTTTTAGCTTCTCGAGTGCCCAGGGAAGGCGCTTAACCAACCGAGGCTACATGGTGGGGTGGTGAGTCCCACCACCTGAGCAAATCGAGAAGTGTACCAAAATGTTTTCTGCATTTAGTGCGCGCTCTGCACTTTCATTTGACCTTGTTCCCCGCCGGACCTCAACAGCTCTGGATGGTAGTGTTCCCCTCCCGACCTCAACCACTAGCATCCGACAGCAGTGTTCCCCACCGGACCTCGAACGCCAGCGCCCGACGGCTCAGAAAGAGTGTCAGCAGATATGCCAGATAGAATGCCAGAAAGAAAGAATGTCAAAAGATATGCCAGAAAGAATGTCAGAAGATATGCCAGAAAGAATGCCAAAAAGAATGTCAAACAGATATGCCAGAAAGAGGGCCAGAAATAATGTCAGAAGAAATGCCAGAAAGAATGCCAGAAAGAATGTCAGAAGATATGCCAGAAAGAAAGTCAGAAGATGTAACGGGAAGAATGTAAGACATAATGTCACAGGAAGACTGTAAGAAATAATGTCAGAAGATATGCCATGTCAAACAGATATACCCGGAAGAGGGGCAGAAATAATGTCAGAAGAAATGCCAGAAAGAGTGCCCGCAGATATATGCCAGGTAGAATGCCAGAATGGATGTCAGAAGATATGCCAGAAAGAGTGTCAAAAGATATGCCAACCAGAAAGAATGCCAGAAGATATGCCACACATAATTTCAGAAATACTGTTAAACGATATGCCAGAAAGAGGCCCAGAAATATTGTCAGAAGACATGCAAGAAAGAATGCCAGAAATCAGAAAAAATATCAGACAAACAACATATATATATACAGAAAAAGATCAAATATAATATTAAAAGATATGCTAAAAAGACGGTTAAAACATATAATCGAAAATGATTGACATAATATTCTAGCATTTTTGGAAATATATATATATATTTTAAATATGCTATTTTTAGAATTATTTAAAATAATTAAATATATATATATATGAATTTTAATAATATTTTACTATATATTAATTATACAATATAAAATATATAAATATGTTATATAAATATAAAATTATATATATATATATTTTTAATTTATTTTATATTTATTGATATTATTGATATGATTAAATTATATTTGATTGTTGTTGGATTGGTTTATATTTTAAATGGTTATTAATCGAATCGGCTTTGATTGATATTTTTTAAATTTTGGGTAATATTAGGAATAAAATTATATTTATATTTCGATTTCGGTATATGGATGCCGATTTAATGCGATATTTTATTTCGCGAACGAACGAAGGAGGAATTGAGGAGGATTTTGGATTTGCGGTCGTTTTTCTTCGCATATGGATTTTTTTCGGTGGTTAGGTTAAATATTGTTCGATTGGTCCGTAGGAACGTTTGATTTTATAACTATATTGAATAAAATGATATTGATAGAATTTTTTGGCGGCAATTCGTTATTTTATTTTTTGAAATTCGATTGATTTTATTTATTATCGTAATAAAAAATATTTTATTATTTTTATTTTTTTATTTTCGGATAAATCGATTAGGATTTTATCGTTATTTTTTCTTATTGAGGTAGAATGCATTAATTTCGATTATAATATTCGGTCTAATATTATCGATTGTTGTGGTTTTTAAGGGCAAAGGTTGTTATTAGGTTTGTTATGGTGAAATTTTGATTAGAAATAAAATCGATATTTATAATTCCGAACTTACTATTAAAAGAGGTTTATTAATTGTAAAATCGATTTTAGAAATAATTATAAAGGGTTTATTGGTTATAAGGACTATATTAAAGATAAATATATTCCGGACCGCTAATAAAAGATTCTTTAATATTGCTTATAATTTGATTCCGAATAATGGAACGATAATATTATTAGATTCCGTAAAATCGGAATCGAATCCGAATATTATTATAATTAAGTACGAAAACATTGAAAATGCAATCGAATGGACGGATCTAAATTGATTTATTTTATATAAATGTAAAAATCGGTACCGAACAATTAAAAAGAATATATTATTAAGATTAAATTAATATATATTTATATACGATTAAATCGATTCAATTTTAATTTTAATATTAATCGATATTCAAACATTCTCTAGAGCTCGAGGGACTTTAACACGGTCATCGTGTTTAAAGACCATATCCAAAATCTATAAGACCTGGAAAAATTTTTAGCATCCTCGGCGAGCTTGTCGGCATTGTGTTTAATCTGTCGCCATGTAATGCCTTGTAATCCTACCTCGTCCCATTAAATCCTTAAATTTCTTTCATAAAAAAATCGAAAACGATAGATATACTACAAAATTCATTATTTACTCGCATTTTAAACGCTCCCAAACAAATTTAAAGATTTTTTTGTATTTCATAGAATTATCCAATCTATCCATTCGTTACATCTTCATTACCGAACAACGTTATAATAAAACCGGAAAACGATCAATTCGTCAAGCACTTTCGGCAAGATTTACATTCATCTACGACGACAATCTAGAAGTCGTATTTCAATTTTAGAATTAATTCAAACAATATTTTAGATACGGAAGCTTCGTCCCTAGCTTATTACGCCGCATTACTTCTACGATTAATTCTATTCGTCGGCCTACGCCATTAAAAAAGCTAACACATCCATTCGCACCTTCGATAACAATAAAATCGGGTCGAACAATTAAATCTTATATATCAACCAATAAATATATAAATTACAATCTTTTTCCTCAATAGATACGATTTTAGCCGGACCACGCTAACGAATCTTATAAAATTCATATTATTAAATATCTCGCCAATAAAAACATCGTTAGTCAAGCCAAAAATCTTTAATTAACTCCCATATAGCGCCTTAAAACTTGACCGAAACGTTCATGGACTTCACCAGGAGCTACCTTATAATGAATATCCCCGTTGAAATTCAGAACGTGGGATCGAGGCAATCATTTTGTAGTAAAAACCATTTTTTGTTCTATACAATGAACCTATCTATAAAATGGGGGGTATTAAAAAAATACGATAAACCATGAAATATCTATAAAATGCAGTGCTCGAGGTCACTATATGTCAATATGTAGAAATATGAAAAATGCACAAAATCTACAGAATGATGGGCCGTCCCAGGGAATAATAAAAGACGATATAATTTTGTAGAATTTATTGTATCCTTATTCTCTACTAGGTGAGTTCGTTTAATTACAGATTAATCAAGTCTATTCGGCCTTTCAACTTTACAAAAAAGTGTTCCCCCATACTTCTCCGGGATAAATAATTTTTCATTACAAGTTCATGGAGGAGATCAAACTTTCCAATTGAGTAGCCTAGGAATCCCCTGGGGAGCTCCGTCGGAACCTGTAGGCCCTAATGAAAACATAATGGGTTTGATCCACTAAAATGGCCCCTAGGCCGGGGGCCGTTTAAACGAAGAGAATATATACAACCTGATAGATATAATATTTAATGGAACCCAATAACAAAACAACGGCATAAGCCTACATAACTGTATATTAAAGCCATCGACCCTCCATAATTCTCCGGAATAAATAATTTTTCATCACAAATTCATAGAGGAAATAAAATTTTCCAACTAAATAACCTTACAATAAATATATATTAGCAATCTTTAAAATAATGTTACGGTCTTACAAAATAATTCAAATTGCTTACAGAATAACTTATTATCACATGGCCATTCTATAATAAACTAATATTATTATAAAATGGTGGGATCCATCCCCCCCTTTTTTTCATTCTTATAAGCGTCAAACACGTCTATCTACAAAATGCTAAGCCGTAATAGCCTCCAAATCCATCATTAAAAAAAAAAAATCAACAAATATTAATTAATGCTATATTCATCAAATACGTCCTTCGTCAATAATGAATTCCTCGAGAAAGCCGAAGTAGGCAATCCAATAGCGCTCAAAGAATATAATATAATCTATTCGGAATATACCTAACAAGCGATTTAATACTTTGTAGCACAATCCAATATAGCCAAGATTAGCCACTTCTTCTTAACAATGCTAATTCAAAAAACATCGATTTAAATTATTTAGTTAAAATACTCAATCTTATTAACAATAATTAGGAACGCTTAATTTAGCTTCTTATATCGAAGGTATAAACTACCCAAATATTTCTTAATCACATCTTTTAAAACCTATCTTGATTATTGGAAATCGATCAATACCTAAGCTAAAGAATATCTAAAATTCCTATGAAGCTTTTGCACAATTCCAAGGGCATTTTGCTTTCCTTCGACATAGAATTCAACGATTTTGTCCAGGTATTAGGAGGACTCACGAATAATATAGGAATCCTCCCAAATCTAAAGCCTCTCTAAGCAAGCTGAGGCTGTAGCCAATGTCGATAAGAAGGCCGATTAGTAGTCTTCCAGAGTTCCATGGCCTTTCATATAGCCCTCTAGGCGATCGTAATCATCGGGGACAAATGGGATATCGATTCAGCGACTGCTCGCTTAATCGTCAGGATAGTAGTATCCTTCTTAGCAGGTTTCCAGGTTTCATCAACGTCCATACAGACAGCGCCATATTAGCATTAATGATGGCGAGCGCGATAGCAGGGCAAGGACTACAATGCCGAAGTGTCCCAAGAGAGAGTTGAAGTAAGCTATTCGATGTGGTTATGCCTTCCAAAATAAAATTGCTTCAAGTATACCTTCTTATAGAATTGGAGGTAAGTGCGATAATATCATTCACGAAAGCCTCAAAGAATCTCCTTATATTATTCTAAATTAGCAGAAATATTCTACATCCGGGACCATAACTAGGAAACAAATAGATTTCGTCCGGCATGTCTTGATCCATCATATTCAAGAAAGCGCACTGGTGGGACTAAAACGCGAAATTCCATCCTATTTCAAAACCGAAAATTTTGGTTATCATACCGATGCCCTCAACAACTTCGGAAAGTCGTGCACGGCCAATATACACTTCCCATAAAATTATACCTATATAAACCCCAAACAATTTCAACATAATTAACGGTTATTAACGATTCATTTGGACCAATATTAGTCAAAAACGATTTCTTAATATGCCCTACCTTCCCCCCCCTTCCCCCCAAAAGATAGCTACTTTATCAATGATTTTTGTCGGCATCGACGTCGCTAATTGTTCGGACGCAAAAGAAGACAAAAGGAAAACAAGATCCGGTCATACGTGACAAGAAAAAGAGAGAGAGAGAGAGAAATAGAAAGAAAGCAAGCAAGGAAGGAACGAAGAAAGAAATAAATAAACAATGAAAGTAAAACAGCAGGGCGAACGCGCGTTTGTCTATTATAGACGGGCGCACTTACGCCCAAAGAGAAAGACAGAGAAAGAAATACTGAGAGAGAGAGAGAGTAGGGCGAGCGCGCGCGTGCTCGTGTGCTATGGACGGCTTATTGGGTTCTTATTTTCTTTTTGTCCTTTGTGTTGGGCTCTATAGTTGGGCCTTATCCTCTTCTTATCTTCCTTTTGTCTTTGTTTTGGCCGCGCCTCTAAACTCTGTGGCTGGGCTTTGTGTCCAGGTTTTGTCTTCCTTTTATCCTTGTCTTGGCCGCGCCCCTGAATTCTGTGGCTAGTCTCTATGGCCCGGCTTACTAGAGAAGAGTGTGGCCGAACAAATAGCGATATTAATGCCGACAAAAATTCATTGATAAAATAATTTACTTTTGGGGTGAAAATAAGACGTATTAAAAAATCGATTTTTAATTAATATTAATTTAAACGAATCATTTTGAAGTTGTTTGGGGTCTATACTTATACAATTTGTTTTTTTTTTATATTAAACGGAACGTGCATATTTATGTAAAAAGAAGCGAAGTAAGGTTTGATAGTCGCATCCCTAAATTCTGTAACCGGGTTTGTAGCTGGATCGTGTCTTCCTTCTATGCTTCTTTTGTCCTCTGGCTAGCCTAGAGTGCGAACGCACCGTCCATAGCCCACGAGCGCGCGCTCGCCCTGCTTTCTTTCCTTCTTTCTCTCTTTCTTTCTTTATACGTTTCTCTTTCTCTATCTTTCTCTCTGCAAAGCGCGCCTTCGCTTTCTTTCCTTTTCTTTAAATTTTTCTTTCTCTGTTTCTTTCTTTGCAAAGCGCGCCCTTCTAAAGCATATTTCGGAGCACACGAACGCGCCGTCCGCACCATATAAATACGCACGCGCTCGCCCTGCTTTCTTTCCTTCTATCTCTATCCCTTTTTTTAATATTTCTCTTTCGTTCTGCAGAACGCGCATTTCGGAGCGTACGAACGCGCGCGCAAACTCGCCCTATTCTCTTTCCTTTTCTTTCTCTTTAAATTCTCTTTCTCTATTTTTCCTTTGCAAAGTGCGCGCTCGCCCTACTTTTTTTCCTTCTTTCCGTTTTTCTCTTTCTTTCTCTTAAAATATTTCCTTCTCTATCTTTCTCTCTATACAACGCGCTCTAAGCGCGCCTTTCTAGAGCGTAAGCGCGCCGTCCGTAACGCGCGAACGCGCGCGCGATACTCTGTTTCTTTCTTCTTTAAATTTCTCTTTCTTTCTCTCTACAAAGCGCGCCTTTCTGGAGCGTATTTTTACTCACTTTACTTCTCTTTCTATTTCTCTCTTTCTATCATTTTCTATCTATTTTTCTTTCGTTCTTTCTATTTTGTTTTCTTTCTTTCTTTCTGTCTTTCTTTCTATTTTCCTTTCTCTATCTCTATCTTTATCTCTATCTTTGTCTCTAATTCTATCTCTATCTCTATTTCTGTCTCTATCTGTTTCTATCTCTATCTATCTCTATTTCTGCCTACGAACCACAAAGCCCACGCAGATCCGCAGAAGTCAGGAGCACGGCCAAAAGAAGCACAATAGGAGGACAAGGCCTAGACACAGAGCCCGCCGCGCCAAGAAAACAAGAGGAAGACAGGGCCTAGGACAAGAGGAGGACAAGGCCCAGCCACAAAGCCCAGGCACAAAGTCGACAAAGTTCAGAGGAGGAGGACAAGAGGAAGACAAGGCCCAGCCACAAGCCCAGCCACAGAGTTCAGGGGCGCGACCAAATGGAGGACAAGGCCCAGCCACAGAGTTCAGGGGCGCGGCCAAGAGGAGGACAAGGGCCAGCCACAGAGTTGACAGAATTCAGGGGCGCGGCCAAGAGGAGGACAAGGGCCAGCCACAGAGCCCAGCCACAGAGTTGACAGAGTTCAGGGGCGCGGCCAAGAGGAGGACAAGGGCCAGCCACAAAGCCCGGCCACAGAGCTCAGCCACAGAGTTCAGGGGCGCGGCCAGTGAGTGTGGCCAGCTCTTTTCTTTCTAAGATAGAACCCCAACAGTAAACTGTTTGGGGAAAGTGCACTCGAGGTCGTGGTGCTCCTTCTTTTTTTCACGATCAGGTCGATAAGTGTGTTAGTGGAGTTCAGTTGGGCTTGACTGAGTCTGAATGACTAATGTCTTCCAGTGTTTGGCCGTCTAGATTCTTCGTACACCAGCGTCTTTTATTTCCTCGACTTGGTAGAGGTATTCTTCCGTAAGAAATTTGAACCTAAGCAGGACTTTGACATCGAAGAATTCGAGGAAGCATATGGCTCATATATCGATGCTCGCAAAGCGGTTCAATGACTTGAAGCTCAGCAGGGGATTCCTTCCTGCAGTAGCACTTCAGGACTCAGCTCCCTCCTCGAATTCGACGACCTCTCAACAAAAACCCTTCAAGGGTGGGAAAAGGGAAGAAAGGAAAGAATAAGGGCAAGCTATCGCTTCGATCGTGCACCATCCAAGCAACCAGATCCAAAAGGAAGAGCACGATTTGCCCTGGCTCCAGCTTGTATGAGATGCGGTTCTTCATCACACAAAACCGCTCAATGCACTCAAGCGAGTTCTCCAAAGCCGGCCATTACGTCCACTGGCAAACGCTAGGCCATCGAAAGCATGGCTATCCTAACTAACAAGCCCTCCATAGTTATGCTTGAAGATGCTGCCGGTCATGAACGACCTGACTGCGCCATGATTAATCCTAGTGCCTCTTCGTTCCTGATGGGCTCTGGACCGCTGACTCGCTATGCGGACCACTCCTGAACGGCAAACACGGCCTAATACAAGGCTTTGTCCTGATAGGAGAAACTCCCATGTTGGTTGGCAGACCTATCATCAAGGCTCTTGACATGTCCATTAACTTCGCCCGACAGAAGCTCAAATTTGGCGATGATGACTGGCAGGACGCTATTCTTGGACGTCATAAAGAGTATCTGTTGGACCTTACATCCACCTTTAAAGCAGAACACCTGTCATGGGAATCCTCCTTCGACCTCCAGTTTAATAGTAGACGGCATCAGCGTCAAAGGATTCCCACCAATTGTCATCATAGGTTCCATCATCATCCATATAGTAGGCGTCATCCTCCTCGTAGATAGAATCGTTCCATTCATAATTCGCTTCCTCGTCGTCACCTGCAAAGTAGGAGCGGCCTTTTCCTAAGGATGCACGGTTCCAGCGGTCACGCGGCATCTGTCCTCCTCCTTGTAGTCTTGGCCCAGGATGGCAAACATTGCCTATTGAATCTTGGCCCGTTCCAAGGAAGCGGCCTGAGTCATGATCGTCTGACGTTGTTCACGAGTGAGAGCTGCTTTGGCCAACAAGAACCAGCCTTAGATCTGGCTTGGGAGTTTCACTCCATGCTTTTCGATCTACTTCAACCGGTCGTCGTAATCCGTGACGAAATTCAGGAGCATCTGACCCGGTTTCCGAGCCAATGCTCGAAGTAGGAGGCGAAGTCGGCCGACATCTCAACATTAGCATCGTATTAAAACGAGCCATCAAGAGTTTTCAACTCTCATCTAAAGCACCGGGGTCTTCAGCCTTGTCCAAGTTGAAGTCCTCACACAACTTCCATGCAACGCCGGACAAACTGCCCAGCAGGTTCAAGATAGCTTCTCCTTATCGTTTTGAAAAAAGAAATCATTTTCTTGTGGTAAATCAAGATCCTCTTCCATCATTCGCGGTATCCCGTCAGGGAGCCATCAAATAACGGGATAAAACTATCTCTTACCGAGAAGGTATCTAGCTCGGCCTTCTTCTCTCAGGACATACTCAAGGGAGTAGAGCTCTGTAACCACAACAAGCAAGGTAGAGCTCGTCAGCAAGAAAGAGCTCCGGTGAGAGCACTGCTCCTGACCGTAAAAGAGGGAAGCAAGGTTGTAGGTGAAGTTTCCGTTGTCGGTGAAGTAGGCGTGGAAGGGGACAATGATATAGGAGCGGAGTGGTAGGGAGCCGCCTGTAATCGGCGACTCCACTACCAATATCACTTACACACTGGTACCAGAGGTAGAAGAGCCAAGTAGGGAAGTAAACAAACGAAATTTCACGACCGGATTTGTATGAGCTCACGAAGTCGCACACTTTTCAAGCGTCATTGGCTACGTCGATCGAATCCCGCCACTCAAGTAGCAAACGTTAGGTTGTAACAGCCACGGGTAGAAACTCATAAAATATACTTCATGTCATAAAGTAGTCTGAGTTGCTTCAAAATCACACATTCTATTTTCAAATTAACTCCTTAAAACACAAACTAAATATAACGCCAAAAAAATACTACGCAATTTTTTAAATAGCCAATTGCAATTACGCCCCGCCGATAAAGACGCACGCACGAAATGCGCAATCGGCATGAAATTACGCAATCGACGCTGATATAAAATAGCTAAATATATGTAAAATGTAATATATAATATACTATAAATTGTATATAGTATACTTATTTCTTAGGAATTCAATTAATCAAACAAATAAATAGTATAATCTATTTCATTGGCAGTTTCAAATGGTTTGATAACTTCAAATTGTCCAGTCTTGGCACTTTTGTACATGGCATCAAGCGTCGCAACCACCTGGACACTCAAGACTTAAACTTATGTAAACTCTTCAAAATTGACTAGTCAAAGCACTGATGTAACGGTAAGGCATAAGAAAGACATTGAGGTAGCCTTTCTTCCAATCATTGCATCTGCAGCGTTCAGAATCTTTGTGCCGGTGCCTTCATATCTTGACTTTGCTCTTCAAGACTCTTCATATGTCAAGTGTCGTCAATTCTGAATTTATACATACAATATACATGAACTGCTGTGCATTCTCTGAAGACTCAACACCTCACAGTTTCAGATTGACTTGACGTCTCTTTGTAAACTGTACATTCAAGTGACAGCCGCTGAGGAATACTTGCAAGGACTCTGGTCCATCACCTTCTGCTTGATAATTCTCAAAGTAAAAGCCTGCACATAACTCTGAATACGGTCAATTTGTTTATGACATCAAATTAGATACTGATGATACTGCATTATCAGGCCTGGCAGGTGTTGGTCTGTCCCATCAAAAAGCTCCAAACGCAATCCCCCGGATTCAGGATGCTGGTCCTGGCACTGAAATTCCGTGTCAAGGCGGATGCCCATAGGCGTGTCAGTGCCAAGACTGACGTCCTCTCCGCCATAGGAGAGAACACCACCGGATCCGAAGATCTTCATGTGAATATGTTTTGTCGACTCAAAATAAGACCTTGGCTATCGACACTTAGACTCTGACATGCTTTGAACAAAGCTGCTTGAAGGTCAATAGCCAAGCTGCTTGAAGGGCATCGAAGCTGTTCCATGAATGCTCATGATTGCCTGACAACGATCAGCCACACAGGTCGGAGAATTGCACAAACACGCGCACAAGATCGCACAAGATCACACAAGCAATGATAGAAAACCACAGTTGCAGCACAACACCGGAAAATGCCGAAAAGACGCATTGCCAGCACAGTGGACAATGGCGATGTCAGTAATATCAGCGCCGGTCTTTTCGGAGTGCAACATGCTGCAGCACACCTTCCTGGATTTCTGGTCGCAGGCTCCGCTAAAGCTACTAGGAGATCGCTACTAGGAACAAAGGGCATTTCTACTTCTAGCGCTCCTGGCCTTACTACCACGAACAAGAGGACAGCAAACTCTCCGCAACACTTTTTGGACAAAACGCTCTGGCTCCAAATCGGTCACAAAGTACAACCACGCAAGTGCATGGGACATTTGTCCCAATCCGAAGCCATTTCCTAGACACAACAAACGGCAAAAACTGCAGCTGCCATGACCTTCATGAGAACACAGTCACATCGTGCCTTGCATTGAACCTGTTGGCTTTATCCATCCCACATTTTCTGGATCTTCAAAAAGCCAAAGCAGTGCGGCTGCCATGTAACCTCAAAATTAATTCCAAGCTTGTGCTACTTTCGCTGAGCTTCTGTCCAACCAATCGAAACTGAACGGTTTTTTCTTTCGTACAGTACAGATTTCTAGTATTATCCAAGAAACAATTGACGCTTCTCACCTGCCCGATCTTGCCTTTGTCGGCAAGACTTTGAGTCTGAACCAAGCGCCATTCCCAACATGCCAACAGGCTTGAGGCACGGACTTTTGACCATATTGTGCACTTTCTCAGTGGAGTCTCTGAAATTTGCAGTGTTGTTCAGCATGAATATGTGGTCACTCTTTGATGCAGCTTGAGCAAGCCAGTCTGCTTCTGCCAGATCTGTAGTCATTGGCTTCTCCATCAGTACGTGAAAGCGGCCTATAGCCTTCATTCCAACCTCATAGTGAGCGGAATGAGTGGTCGCAATGATCACGCCGTCAGTTTGCTCTGCTTCCGGTGAAGCAAGAAATTCATCCTTAATTTCGGCAGTCTTACTCAAAGTTGAACAGCATGTATCATAACATCACGACATACTATGGCTTCTACATTCTCTGCAGAAGAAACACCTAATTTGTCAGTTAGAAGCTACTGGGTGTGAATCAATGTTGGCCTATTCAACTGCTGCAAAGGTCCGAAGGCTGTTGAAGTTTGATCTGCTAAGTTGGACATGCTACTATACATCACTCAGGTTTGCAATGATAGTCCTGAAGCTTGGCTTTAACTTTAAAGTGTTTGTTCGCAACTCTTGATGTGCTTGCTGCATGTTCTGTTGCGAGTACATGTCAAACTTTGTATCCTTCGTCACAAACCTTGCTCCTGTGGCCTGCTTTCTGGGTCTCGGAGCTTATGTTAAGCTTTTCTTTTAGTTTAGCTTCGTTCAGCTTCATCATTTTCTTTCAGTCTGCTTTTGTGCGTGTGTTGCTCTTTTTCCTCGGAGTTGTGGAGACTTTTTGATACAGTAACTGGCACTTTGGAAAACTGGCCCAGCAGGCCAAAACCATACATCAGGAGCCCCAGCATCAGCATCACGTCAAGAAGCCATTCAAAGAGCTCAGCCATGCATTAAACAGGGGGGCATCCACTGCACTTCAACTTCTTGCTCTGGACAATTGTCGTGCTTCCACTTTGCCAGGGAAGAAGATTTCACACGCGCCTTGCAGTCTTTTGGTCATATGAGCAACTTCGAGTAAGCAGCTTGCAGTCTGTGGCAGTTTTGCATTTCCCGGCTGCAGGAAAGGGTTGAGCAAAGTGAAACGGCAAGAGCATGCAAAGGCCATATCTGTCTCAAGGAGGCAAACAAGATAAGACAAGATGACAAGACTCAAATGTTTTGAATACTGGTACAGCATAGAGCTTTTGCAGCTCCTCTGTGGTCTTCAAGTCTGGATTCAAGGTGCCTTATCTGTTGCTGAATGACGCAGAACAAGTGTGACACCTCTAATTTGACATCTGCAACAATGGCAACATGAATGTGCTGAGACACTGCGTGGAGCTTCACAGGGCTCCACGATAGCGGTGATTTGTGCATCTTAGGAAGTCATGACGAATGGGCTTGCATTTATGTGAATAACCGAAGATCTTAAGGATAACACCTCACAACTGTGGACAGGACGATAGTTTCGGCTGAGGTGAGGAAGGTGCCAACCTTGTGACCACCATCCAGCACCAACTACAGCAATGTGAGCGCACCTGACATCTGCTGGTCACTGAAAGAAACCTGATGCCCACAAAGCAACGAAAGTGCCTTGTGGCGCTGAATGGATCAGGCATTGTGAAGCCTCCCTTTGACTATTTCATGCCTTCAAGGCAAGCAAAGTTACTAGTAGCATCCTCTTGTTGCTAGTAGTACGGCCAGGAGCCCCTAGTAGCGTCCTTGCTCCTAGGAGTAAGGCCAGGAGCCCCTAGTAGCTTCTTGTTCCTAGCAGTAAGGCCAGGAGCTACTAGTAGCGTCCTTGCTCCTAGTAGCGATGCCCTTTGCTCCTAGTAGCTTCTTGTGCTGGAACTGTTCAGCTGTTGTTTGATGCACTTCTTCTACAAAGTTGGACAAAGCATAACGTGGTGCCCTTGGTACATGTCTCTAGCAGCATCATAGGCTCGCAGCATGTTGAGCTGAAAACAGCAAGACATAAAGGAGCAAGAACGGAGGATTGATGATCCCGATTGAGAGTTGTGGGCAGTCTGTGGACTTCACTAAGAATCACAATAACATACAATGACTGTATATTCAGCTCTTTTGGTGTTCTCATGGATCAGTGCACCACACTTTCCCAACTTTTGGCAGCTCTGGTCAGAATTCGAACGATCTAAGAATGACGATGTACAATTTTGGCGCCGGCACTTTGTGCGGATAGCCAGAATGGCAGTGACCATCCTTCAAGACTCTTGGAACTCTTGTGTGTGTCCTTTGTACATTTTGCTTCCTAGTGCTGTTTCACAGCCCAAGCCTGCAAAAAAGACCACTATGCTCACGATCAATTCAGGCTACTTACAACCAGGCTCAAGCTCTTCCACATGCTTTTGCTGTCCTTTCAAATCCCATCAAGTCTTGCCATCTGCCACAGCTTCAGGATTTGGCGGTGAGTCAGCAGGCCTCTTGAAAACCCCGGAATGTACATAGGCAAAAGGCCAAATGTAGGAATGTACAGTAGATCATTGGCAGGCTTTTGAAGAATTGAGGCACACGCGGATCTGGTAAATCCCCACTATCTGGAGGAAACGCATCAGCCTACCAAGCAATGTTGGTGCAAAAAGCAACAGCATCCGCACCTTTCTGCATCTAAATGTGTATAAGTTTCGAATTAGTCAACCAATCCAATGATGCCTCCGCATGTTCAGCAAGTTCTCGCAGGTCTGCAGTCTCCTTCTCGCGACTGCCCATCAAGCATTGAAGCATCACCAATTACCAGTCCCTGTAATTTGATAAGTAAATCAAATAATTCCAATGAATCCTGGTTCAACTCCACTTGGGAATCTCCACCTTCATTCCTGAATTTTGGCAGTTAACGATTCAGCAAATGCTTTCAACAAAAAGTATTCAAGGTGGGGTGGGGCATACTGGCTTTCGGAAGCTTCATATCGGACATGATCTTAGACCCAAACCACTGAATATCAGCTTCATCATCATCATATGCCGGATCCTGTGCTACCTGGCAGGTACACGAGGCTCCTGTTTGCAGAATGTCAAGGCTTACAGAAATCCGTTAGAAAATGCTGACCTGTCCAGCAAGCTCTTCAAGTGGGTCTTTCCTGCAAGCGAAAGCCACATGTGCCCTGACTGTCTAACAGCATGTCTTTATCTTTAGGCAACTGTTGCACTCGCCTGCACTTCAGCAGACGAGAAATGTAATCAGTCAAAGGCCTGACAGAATGGCTGTCAGATGAACATCCACACCAAACATCACCAAACAATAGATTCGACAAAAAAACACGGTTCGTAGCAACATTATCATATATCTTTCTCCTGACACTCTTCGCCTTTCCATTTCAAGCACAAATGTTGACAACAACATGAACAAGGCTGCTTCATGCATGCAGTTCAATTGTCTATATAATCAGTTTAATTGAAATCACTTTTGTCAAATGATATTGGACTTGGACCCAGGCAGTGCAAAAAAGCAGCCGAAGATGATCAAGAAGAATATTCCAATCCTGGAATGCATCTGACTTTGTGTGTCAATCAAAAAAACATAAAACTTGCAAGACAAAATTAATACACTGTCCTGACCGGAGAGAAGAACTCATCAGCGGAAACCTCAAGAGCAAACCCATCTTTTCTCCCACTCACTCAGCTAGGACTGAAGGCCACCTGGATATCAGAATCAAATGTGATGGTGTCACCCACCACGCCCTTCTTCCGGCAAATAGAACGCCGCTGCCTTAGCTACGTTGCGTTCTTGGAAATCAAGCTAGAGGATACACATGCGAACAGGATGTTAGATGGTAGTTTTGATTGTACCTCATGTGCAAGCAAGGGGCACAGGTGACATGTCCAGGGCCGCTTCGATCACCACAGCCACAGGATCCGTTCCAGCCTCCAACCACTTGGCATGTTTCAAATCGCAGTGTGAAACCTGTAGGAATCGAGCCTGGAATGACCAAGTTGGCCGCTCCATAGGCAAATGGGTTCGCACGGTTCCGTAAATGCTACACCTTGCAGGATGGAAGTCAAACAGCTGTGGAATGGGAAATCGTGGCAATCCCCCAAGAAAACAAATGAACAACAAAGAACATCGATGAACATTCAGGTCGGAACAGTGGGAAACTATAGGCATAGCCAGCGCACTGTGGATCGCCTGGCATGTTCCAGCGGTGGATGTCGGTCAAACTGAAGCTGCACAAAGGTCAAAGGGTCCCATTTCAGCCGATGCCGAGCGATGCCGACAAGCAAGCAACTAAAAATACTAGACCTATCTATTTAAGAGCGGCCTATTTGACTCTTGAATCTGTGAGCTTCCAACGCCAGCCAATGCAAATGCGTGTCTTGGTGCCACATTTGCCAACTTGCCCACCGACAAGATACTGAACCAACCCCGTTTTTGGCAATTTTGCCAACGATCAAAAGGATTGAACAAGTCTCTCAAAACAACATCCCAAAAGTGCACGAAACACGATACCGGTGATTGTTTCATGAAGGGGGTAGGTTCAGAAGTGCGGGATCCATGTGTATATGTATATTTCATGAATTACAGTATATTATATGTACAATACACACACACATATATATATATAATATAGTATATATATATATACCAGTACATAATGTGTATGTACACACATACAGGTTATCTCTTGCAGCTGCTAGGGAAACAGCTCTGAATGAGAGACCTCACAAGGCCCTTGAAACGTAACAGCAGGTCGACAATGATGTACAGGAAATCCTCCTTGAGGCATTGATCATTGACCATGGACCACCTCCGCCACTCCAAGGATCCTTTCCAGAAGGCCAGCAGCAAAGGTGCAGCTCTGGAACAAAACAAGGTCCTTTTGCAGAATGTCCTCAAGCAACCAATGGACACCACTGGATCCCACAAGGCAGTGGGGCACTATGAGGATTTATGGGGCATTATGTCATCGCTGCCAAGAGCACCATGCAGGAACTTTGGAGCATGCCACATGATGTCTGCAAGGCGGTAGCACTCTCGCAGGGCCACTCGGATGCAATCATAGCCGACCTTCTGCAACACCAGAAGGCAAACGACTTCACCAAGTCACCAAGAACATGTTTCTCCAAGACGAAGCATACCTTCGGTGCAAGCGTTGTCGGCTATACATCCTGTCACACCACGCGAAGGGTTGGCAACACAGCTCGTGGAGCTTGGCCAACGTTTGTCAGACCTTTTCACCAACGAAGGCCAGAAAACGGACTCGTGCAATGCAAAAAATGAACCTGCAGGTTACTCATACTTACTTGTATGTGGCATGTGTCAGGAAGGAGCAAACAAATGCAAAAAAATCTGTTGGATGCGAGTTGGCCACACACCAAGATCTGCTCTAATAGTGCGTTTGCATCTGCCAACATTTGCTAGAGACATCCATCTAGATCATCTAGTCCAAAGGTGTCTACACATGAAAAACTCTAGTCTGATTGTACGCACTATGTTATACACATGTTGGATTGCAGAATCAAAGTGCTACAGTTGCCTACAGTCTTTGTCAATCTGCCACCAACTCGCAAACACCCAGGTCTTGCGCCTGTGCAAATCTGTTCGCACTCAGCTTGTTCCTACAAGCAAACACGTCGAGTCGAATTGTGACAGTACCTGCCCGTGTCACATGGGTCCTGCACATCGCCTGTGTAGCGAGCCATTCGTCTATTTTGCCGGTCCACACCTGTCTCTGAAATCACAAGAAACTCTTCACTTGGCTATCCTGATGGTATCTGAGATTGCTGCATTCCCCGCCACCCATTGTTTGATACCTGGCTACTTGATTCTTATCGTCACAGTGGCTTGAACTCCAAACTAACGCCGAAGCGGCTGATAGCCAGAATCCAAGATGCCCATACACACACCCTCAATGCACCTGGTGGGACTTGAGCTATGACTCTACGAGCTCAAAGAAAACACTTTGGCGAGGAGCGTATCGTTGTAGGTCGTTGCATCTTGATCGTTGCAGGTTCTGTGGCCAGGAGCCAAGGTCTGCGCAGGGCTTCGCATCCGAAATGTGAACAGGGTGGTGCGGTGGTCTGCGGCCACCCGGTGGCCATTGTGCCGTTAATCTTGCCAGGATCACAGCTTGGCTGCAAGTACCAGTCTGTGGGTCACAGGTTCCTGAATTAAGTCAACATGCCCAAAACATGAACCCTTTCAGTCCTTCAGCAAAGAAACATGTCACTCAGAAAAGAGAAGCTTTGAGCCTGGATCGTAACACCAGTTTGGTGCCTGCGAAACAGGAAAGAAAACATAAAAAAATGCAACCGGACATGTGTCATGGTCACGGTGAGAATGTAGCTGCTGCCTCGCACGGCGGTGCATCTAGGCAAAGATCCTGCGGTCGACCTACCAAGATGCTGCACCTTTCACTTTGTGAGCTTGAAGGCAAATGACTTCCGGCCTACACATAGTCCGTTCTGGCACATGTCCTCATCGCGGTTGAAGAGCACCATTGGGAACACAGGCAAGATCAGCATGAAAACAGGAAACTGTACTTAACCACTTGTCCATCAAATGGTCCTGAACTGTGTATTCTCGCCCATCATCGCCTGGGTGAGTACCAATCCGTCGCAACAAGAACTGACATGAACTTACGAGTACTGATGTCTTATTGAGTAATTGATGTTGATTTAGACATTTCAAGCTGCATTGCATGTGCTCCAGGTCACAAGGGCTTTCATCCGGTAGTTTGTCGTAGGTGCAACGTCCCGTTGAAGGATTGCCTTTGCCAAGATTGTCTTTCGACCGCCACTTTCTTTTCTATTAGGAACAAGAAGCTACTAGGGGCTGCTGACCTTACTACTAGGAGCAAGGACGCTACTAGGGGCTCCTGGCATCGCTACTAGGAGCAAGAAGCTAGCATCACTTTCTTTTCTGACGTCCTCTTCGTCAATTCTTGGGTCCATGCATCGGCCACCCACCAAACATGTGCTTAGCGGTATACAAGAAACGTTGTACCTCTCTGGAGGGCTCACAAATGCTCAGTGTCCCAAGAAACTGGAGGATTTGTGGCCAACATTAGCCAAAAGGGCGCACCCCAAGCAATAGTTCGGGATGCCAACGCACAAGCCATCTTGGCATGTGTCATTGAGTGTGTAGAAAATGCCATCGTCACACGGGTAACCATCGAGGCGATTCTCGTACATGCACCTGAGGACAAATGCAAGAGCTTTATATAATTGTGCTATTCTGTTGTTCTAGAAACGAAGTGATCTAAAGTAAACCAATCGTGATTGTTGCCCTGAGGTCATGGCAATCCCGTGATTGGATCACACGTTCCCGGCGCCTTGCAAACATTGTTACGATGGCATTGCAACAACACAAACATCGACATCGACATCGACATCGACATCGACATCGACATCATCATCATCATCATCATCATCCTCATCACCATCATCGTCATCTCCGCATGGGCCGGTCTGTTTTCGATCCGTAGTGAGATATTCCAAAGTGGCTGCCCACAGCATGAATTCCTTGAGGCTCCATAAGGTCTGCAACTTCAGAAGCAGTACCAAGGAGAGCCTTCCCTCCTAAGAAAACAATTTGCGCTGGTCACTGTCGCCGCTTTTCTTGTGCATGTGTGTCCTGCATCAACAGTCGACGGGAAAACATTCAAGGGTTTCAAGACTACTGGGAAGTGGCCCTAGCAGTAGTAGTCGGTGGTGGTGGTGGTGGTGGTGCTGGTCATGGTGGCGGTGGTAGTAGTAGTAGGAGGATCAGGAGCAGTAGGCAATAGGAGTAGGACGTGGAGGAGGAGGAGGAGGAGGAGGAGGAGTAGGTAGTAGGTAGTGGGTAGTGGGTAGTCGGTAGTAAGTAGTAAGTAGTAAGTAGTACGTAGTACGTAGTAAGTAGATGTAAGTAGTAAGTAGTACGTAGTAAGTAGTAAGTAGTAGTAGTAATAATAGTAGTAGTAGTAGTAGTAGTAGTGGTAGTCCCAGTCGTAGTCGCACATAGTCGTAGCAGTAGCAGTAGCAGTAGCAGCAGCAGTAGCAGCAGCAGCAGCAGGAGTAGTAGTAGTAGTAGTAGTAGTAGTAGTAGTCGTAGTGGTAGTGGTACTTGTAGTTGCAGTAGTCGTTGCCGTTGTAGTAGTTCATGGTTGTAGTTTTCATGATGTCTGGGTGTGAAGTTGCGAAGTCCTCTGTTCCGTATGACTGGCCGACACCCCCAGAAGGTGCACGTTTGCCAATGCCATAGTACCTTTGGACACTTGTTGCCAAGCTGACATAGGACATAGGACACAGGACAAATGAAGAACATTTATGAACATTTGACACTTCAAACGGACTGGGGCACCAAGAGAACCACCCAAGCACGAAAAGCATTGCACTGCCTCTCAAACACATCCATGTCTAGCTGTGTCCCTCGAGTGCAAACCAGTACAACCAACGTGGCCTACGACAACGCAAATCAGCAAATACGCAATGGCCAATACACCACCTTGGAACCTCAGCAAATGGTTGGACAAAGTATAAGCTTCGGTGAGGCCAGTTGCAAACCTCCACTGAGCTCTGTGTTCGGTGCTTGGTTTTGGATGCACTCGCCACCCATCTAACCATAAGAGCATCTGGAGCACTCACCTTGCACTTGTGCGCTGCCGCGGGCCCAATCCCAAAATTTCCCGTTACCTTCCCAGAGCTTCAATAGTAAGGCTAAGGCAAGACCATAAGTAGCCTCGGCCTTGGCAATGGCCTTTTGGAAAGACTCCACATTGCAGCCTTAGACCCAGCTTCCCTCCCGTTACTGGAGGAAAAAACATGTTGCTTTGCATAGCAGTAATATCCAGTATCTGGGGTTCTTGCGTTGTGCGTTGTGCTGCTCTTTTCGTTTATTGCACGAATTTTGTTGTATTTAGCCGCTGTAAGCCACAGTCACCCTTTGAGCGGTTTCGGCGTTGCATATCACGTTGCAAGGGCCCGAACACTTACTCAGTCACCCACTCTGTCATGCTTTGTGCGGTTCTGTTTGTTCCACTAACCATTTGGATTTCTCGGTTGTGGGTTTCTCCTTGCATTGGTCATTGTGAGGACTTCTCCTCTCCATTACATTGTTTTGACTGATTTTGTGCCACGCAACCCAAGCCCAGCACTCGGTCCCCGATCACACTTTTAAAGTGTATCGTGTGGGCAGCTTCATGTCTTGCTTGTCTTGCTTTCCGAGCGTAAAGCAAGTAGCCAAAGAGCTGAGAGCCTGGCTTGGACACGGGTAGCCTCCTCCAAGCTGCACTACCTGAATAGGACCAGTGAGTTCCACCATGTTCCACCTCTCGTCGCTAAGACACTCCCAAGCTTCAGGCAGCTTGCAAGGCGCTGGAGTCTCTGGACTTGGTGCGGAGATATGTCAAGCATCAGACTCAAAGAGCACAAGTCCTCTGCAAGCGCTTGCTCACTCACCTACTTTCATACTAAGCCTGTTTTTCCCACCTGTCAGGTGAGAGTTGTTCGACTTTATGTCAGCTGCCTCGCTGTTCTCTTCTCCTCTTCCTCTTCCTCCTCCTCCTCCTCCTCCTCTCCTCCTCCTCCCCCCACTCCTATTGCTGCTGCTGCTCCTACTCCTACCTCCTCCTATACCTCCTCCTCCTCAACCGCGAGTGTCGGATGGCAGTGTTCCCTGCCGGACCTCAACCGCAAGTGTAGGACGGCAGTGTTCCCCGCCGGACCTCAACCAACAGCTCCGGGAGTGTTCCCCACCGGACCTCAACCACCAGCTCCGGACGGCAGTGTTTCTGCAAAGAGACATTCACAGCACACAACCACAACACATAACCACAAAGACCCATCTACAGTACACAACCCACAGTACACAACCAGAAATATCATGGTGGGGATTTTTCGAAGTGAAGTATCTCTTTTTTTTATGGGTTGTTGCTGATCGTTTAAATTGATATATTGCCTCTGAACCCGACCCCAGTTGATTGAGTTCCACACCTGGTCGCAAAAGAAATTTCCAGACCTGCAATTTCCACACACATCGGAAGCCAACATATTACTTCCAAAGCACTGCCACACTGAAACTGCACATGCCAAGAATGAGACTTCGAGCAGCAGTTTATCCCCACCTGAAAAATCCAAGCATGATGCGTTGATATGGGCTGACATCTGTTGACGCGATGGCTTCATGGCTTTTCTGCTGCCAGAGTGCAGCCCAGTAATTAACCCTGGGGAAGTCCATTCCGGCACTCTCGGGACCTGGCAGAACTTGCGTGCTGACAGAGATCAAACATCTATATACATATATAATCATATACTATATGTATATATATATATATATTATGTGGTTTTGTTATATTATATCCTATAATATCATTATACTATATTATACTATATTGTATTATATTATATAGACATATTAGATATTATATATATATCAGATATGTGTGTATATATATACAGTATATATATATATAAATGTATACAAGAAGTCAACATACAAGGCTGACTCAGCACCGGGGCAACGCAGAACAGGTCGGTGTCCTAGGAAAAGGTAGAGATTTGCATCAGGTGCTAGGACGGCGAGGGAATGGCAGGTGGCGATTCTGTCCTTGAAACCAACAGAGCGGAATGCATCGACAGATGAATGGTCCAGGCCGCCTGCTTCCTGAATGGCATGCGGCAGGGTTGGGCTTCATCGATTTAACAAGTGACTCCGTGTTGACCAAGCAACTGTTCCAAACACCAATGTTGCTGCATCCTCAGGATGGAAGTTCTGTGACTTTGAAAAGAGCACACTGATCTTATTCAAGACTATGTTGATAAACACTTCAGGTGCTGGCAGAGCGAGCACCAGCAGCAGTGCCACCCAAAGTTCTTAGAGCAAGGCACCGGTTCCAGCGTTTTTGCACAAAGACTCCAATTTGAATGACTGTACTCACATAGGAATGCTCACAGCGGAGAGGGCACCATGGGAAGCACTGCACCTTTAGTGCAAAACGTCCAATTGTTCTGGGTGTCGGCAGCATTGTGGTGCCTGTGGCCTTGACTAGCTTCTAAACCCTTAAGGGATTGCTTCTCAAGGTTCCTTCCGATTCTTCCAAACCTAGTAACCAGGTCCATATTCACCTCACTGTTTTCAGTTTGTTGCTCATGGAATAATATACACCGGGTAAGAAAGGCATCCAGGCACAAAAGGACATTGGTCTCTTGGGTCCAGGAAGGCATGCGAGAACCCAGGCACCCAAGACGACAAAAGGACAACGAAGACTGTTTAAAGTTTAAGCAATTCCCTCCAACCCAAGAGCGATGGCTTCCAACCTAATAGCGATGGCCTCGCACCTAATAGCAATGGAAACCCTCGTCGTAAATGATTCAATGCTTAAGCATAGTCTGTGTCCTGAGTTTGCAGGTGCTGTATTGGCTTCGTTGGCACAGGTTTCACAGAGGCCTTTGCCCTGCTGTGCAGGAGTAGCAACAAAACAAACATTGTTTACACATCTTGCACAGGCGCATGATGCGCATGCAAATCATAGTAGTGAAAAAGCAATATAAGGACTTGGCGGCACAAGCTGCTGCCTACGGGAGCGAGACACTCGCAACTTTTGTTGATAGAACTCTGACTTGGAAGCCCCAGACTTGGACACCGATGGTCTGTCGATCAAAGAAATGATCTCCGAGCCCGACACCCGATATTCATCCAAAAGAACTGCCGCCAGAATTGTTCCCAGCCTGAGGCTCAAAGAATGTATCGTAGCAAACAGTGTCAACCATGTCAACCACACGCCTAGCCGCCTAGCCTCGCTGACCAAGAGCAGTTCCACCAATGATGGCGATGATGCACAAAACGCCAAGGGAGACCAACGACACTGGTCCCCACCCTGAGATTCAACGCATTGACTGCTTTGATGTATGCTGTATGACGGCTATCATGGCATGGACACACTTTCTGGACTTGCAAGAAGCTGGGGACAATTTTGTTTGAAGCGGCTGCAACACTAGCCTCTCCGCAACTTCCGGTCTAAGGAAACTGCGCATGCCCTGGTACCACATTCCAATAGCTGCTGCAGAGACCACCAGCAATGTGACTGTGATCCTTGGTGCAGAACTCCATAAATTATGATATCTGATAAATCTATCTTACTAACACCTGCCGACTAGCATTGAGCGCCAAACAACCAGCAGCCGTTTCTGGTGACGTGGGCTAGGAGACTCCAAACGACCAATTCCTTGAACAATGATCAACTCAGTGCCAGAATTTGCACCTACACTGCCATCTCACACGTTTTAGTCATCATGGAAGGCCCCTGCCCAAAGAAAGAGTAGGATGGGTACCATGATCAATATCGTACGCCTCAAAAAAGCACTTGCCTGAAGCTTGAAACAAAACGGCCTACGCACTCAGCCACCCCTGAGATCTAAACGCACGTGGCTGCCTGTTCACATCTCCAGGACCCAAGCAAGCAGAGGCAGTTTCGGACCTGGGGAACAATGTCTTTTCTTTGGGCATTGATGGTTTGGGCTTGCAGTCTTTTGAGCTGTCGGCCAATTCTGGGTATCCTTATAATAGCTTGCCTGCGTCGAATAGCAACATGTGCAAACAAAGCTCCGCAACTGCTGCATTGTTGGATGCCTCTGGCTGAAATTGCTGTGCACCATTTGGGTACTTCGTCGCATTCCTGGCCTAGCGATGCGGGGCGGTCGAACCTCTTTGAGAGGATTTGAGAGGGAAAGAATGGTATCGCAGCTTTTGCATCGGTGCATCACTCTCCAAACCATTGAGAGCCTGCCCGGTGAAGCCCGCAGCGAGAAATGGATCTTCCGATAGCTTCACTGGACCAAGATTGACCTGCGGAAAAGAAGCGCAGACCCCGTGAACACAACCAGGATACACCTTGCTACACAAACGGATATGCTCTAAATGCATTCAAATGCACATTTCACCCGTCCTGTGAAGCTGGCTCTGTGGGAGGCTCATGATCAGGTCTCAACTTGAAATCTTGCCTGTTTCGAGCATCCAAGTTTTCAAACAACTCACACTGACCCACACGTTTTCTTGAACGGTCATTCGGCAAAGGCCCTGACTGCTGAAGAGAAGTCAGGAAGGGATCAGTCGGTACCTCCTCGGCAATGGTAGCGAGCAATGTCTAAGGAAGCTGTTTGTTAGTAATAGTAGTAGCAAGGACACTACTAGGGGCTCCTGGCCTTACTACTAGGAACAAGAAGCTACTAGTAACAAGGTGCATCGCTACTAGGAGCAAGGACGCTACTAAGAGAAGTTGCTAATTCAACTTCAGGAAGCTTCTCTTACCTGCATGGAAGAAGGCTCCTTGAAGAACCCTGGCTGTAAGAACACTGCCTCTAGTAACCTAGTAGTAAGGCCATCAAAGCCTCTAGCAACTGCACTGTGCTGGTCGCACTTGTTGACACCGGTCCCAATACTGGAGCAACTGGCAGAAAGAGCGACACAGGAAAAAACTGCTAAAGATTCAAACGCTGTGATTTGCACCTCCTGATGCGTGTAGGCCTCGGTTTATCTCCACAGAGTGCAAGCGTTTCTGACAAAAGGACAGCGTCTCTTTGCCTGCTCTGAAGAAAGAAAGAGATCCGCACAGACTTGTAATGCTGCAAAAGCTCATCAAAAGTCCGAGCCTGACCAGCAACAAACACCCTGCCCCTTGAGCTTTGACACAAACATCGGGATGCCAGTACACGAATTTTTGCCATGCATCCTAATCTCCTTGACAAACATAGCCAAGTGCACTAATGATCGTCTAACTGCAAGCGCTCATGTTCATCACAAGGTCCCAAGGTTGTGTGGCCCACCTTGCCATCTTCAGGGTCGATTCTCCTCTCTACTTCCATAGTCAACGCATGAGCCTCGATTTGAGTTTGCAGTTGTTCCAAACGAGCGGCATATCATGAGCATGTTGTGACGTTGCTTGAAGGGACTTCAACACACACTCGAGGGACTATTGAGGCCAGGACAATCTGTTCGCTATACTGACTGGGGATCACAAGGGGGAACTCCAGTGACCCTGACTCTGAGCTTTGAGCCAATCTGAGATATGCATAGATCTTTCACGCAACAGGGCAAATTACACCACTAACTTGATGCAAACGCAACGCCGCAAAGTCGCTCGTCCCAAGTTGAGATTCCAAAGCCCTGTCAAACATGAATCTGATCACGGCCCCTTCTAGTAACTAGAACAATGTTGAACACAAACAGAATGATAACTCTGTGAGCCGAAAAAAGCATGCCCTTTTACATCTTGTACCTTCAAAAATGACCGGTGATTCGCAAAGCAACGCACTGGAGCTGTTTCCAGATCCGTATCCGTCGAAGCGCTGTCTGCATATGGGTTTCTTTTCCTCTGTATATATATATATATGTTCCTTTCCTCAAGCCAAGCACCCAGGCCTCGCACTGGTGTCTGGGAGAGCAGTCAACCTGTCAGAAAGGCTGTCCGAATGAGCGAAACACCGCTTTGCCAAACGTATCTGCACTGCTGCACCCAAGGCTAAGTTCGCTGCATCATCAATCAAACACTTGTTGGCAGGGCAATATCTGTATGTGTTGCATTCCACACCATAGCTGGTGTGTTTGCAGTCTGGAGGGGTTAACGCGCAGTCATAGTAGAGATCCGGCCTCCCAAAAAGAGCTCTGCCATTCTTGGTTTCTTTTGCATGTCTATCTGCCTTGGGTTCACTGAGCCATCGCTGAATGTGAAGCCATGGCATGTTGGATCCAGCGTGCTTCCTCTGTACCTCAGCTGGGCCAACGTGTATGAACCAATGCAATCCAATGCACGATATCAAAGAACATCCAGCGTTGCATGTTGAATAGCTTGTTGGGACGATCTATTGCGCCATAGCTATAATAGCTTGTCCTGAGACTTGCGTTTGTTTTGACCTATGGTTGCAGGTCTGAGCATATATAAGGCTTCTGCCCTCGGCATTGGCATGTGTTGTAGTTCCCACATTTGTGCATGCAAGCGTCTGCCTGGAGGGCAAACTTCCACGCTCATCTTACGCAAGGTCTCTCCACATTGACATGACTACAATCATGCAATTTTTTTCCGCTGTGGCTTTTGCTGCGGGTGTGGCACACATGGTCTCGTTCACCTTTGCAAAGGGGAATCTGCCCCAGTACGAAAAGAACACCGTCAAAATTTACCTGCTGAGCAATCGACCAAACACGCAGGTGTGCAGCGCAAAGCTACAAAATCGTTGAGGGTGTCGTTGCACCAAATCCTGCAGTGCAAAGGCACATTCCGCTCCTCTTGACCAAACAGGCTAAGTGGAAACATTTCTCAGCGAGCCTTGTGGTTTCAGGCTCATTGAGGATCTGGCGGACGTGGTGCAACTAAGCATGATCTCTCAGTCTGTGTTTGCCCAGCATGATCAACATGTCCCCGGGAGATTAGGACTCACTACCACGCCTAAAACAGCGGCGCGCCATCCAAAGATATCAGATGATATCAGGTGAAGATTTGTATCCACCATTATCCACCCAGGTATGAATTGCGCGGACTTTGCCGAACATGGACAACAGAAAAGTGATTTGGATTGACATTGGAATTCAGGACTATGTCTCAGTTCTCTATATTTTGGACCCTGCATAAATCAAACAAACCGTAGCATGTCGCTCAGATTGGGCGAGTGTTCTGATGCGTTGTCCCACATTCCGCACCTGCAGCTGGAACTGGCACTCTTGTCGCAGCCGTCTGCCAAGCTCCTGGGGGCTCCGTCGAAGCCACAGCGTCCAGACGGTCACGGTCACGGTCACCGCCGGGGCTTCGGCCCAACAGTCTCCACAAACCAAAAGGCAGTGCGTTTCGATGGCCTCCAACGCATCACCGGTTCGGTTCAAAGAGACTCAAGTCTAAGCCGCAAACATAGGCACATAAAAACAAAGAGAAACAAATCAAACATGGCACCTCACTGGAAGTTAGAAGGAAACATCATTGACAAGAAACGCAATCCTCCAGCCAAGGCAGGCAAGTGCGCTCATTAAAGCCAAAATTTGAGTACCTGTATCAAGCAATGTCTCATTGGGTTTCAAGGCAAATTATGCTCTGCAAGAAAGAAGAGCCGGCTTCAATTAAGGGGCACTCCAAACAGGCTATTTGAGCTTCAAGTCGCCTGAGTGGCAGAGTTTAATGACATGCTCCACACAAAGCATGCTGGGATCCAAGCAAGCGATTGCAGCACGGAATGAATCTGTAGATCTCCGATTGGCCTCAACGTCGAAGCTGCCCCCTACGGTCTTTTCAAAAACTCTGGACAGTTTCGCAATTTCTCCGGTCCCAACAATCTTTCCATGTTGAGTAGTCCTGTGCCAAGGCTACAGTTCCTGCACGCGGAATCCAAATTTCAGCTTTGCCAGGGTAAACTTCGAACCACACCTAGCAAACAAAGCAGCTTGGCCATAACATACGAGGCCACCTCTACTCGTCACAGCTTTACAGGTGGAGCTGTCGTTTTAGTATGCTGAAGGAGGTTGGGATACAGTGCCTCATGCACCCTCGACATCCTTTGTTGTGCTGCCTTGTTGAGAACCCTTGATGGACCCAACATGCTGCTGCGCAGCATTTGTCCCCAAAATGCCAGTTTGCTCAACACCAACAGCCTCTAGACTCTATAGCTGTCCTTTTTGAAAGAATCTGAGGGTGTTGTCTCTCAGCAAAAACTCTTTTCAAAGCCTTGAGCCTTTGGGCTATGGCCAAAACTAGTTACTGCAATAGCCGCTTAGGAAACACATTGGATCGTTCCCAATGCTCATTCCAAATCAATGGCATTCGCAAGTATGGTGGCTTCGACAGTGCTCTAATGGGAAACCGCTGCTGCCTCTGCACGCATCCGTCTTTTCTGTGGCTAGTTAGTCTGGCATCTGATTCACTAATCGATAAACAGCACTCCGCGTGAGCAAGTATATACATTAAGCTCAACCTTCGTCAAACCCGCAAGAGTTTATTTGGTTGAACACTTCCAGCAATCATGAACTGGACGCTCAGGCAGACCGTTCACTCTTCTCATCCTTGTAATCCTGCACTCAGTGCGGGCAAAGACCTAGAAACCTAGAAGCAAACACTTTGTCCCCACCTGGTCTGGCTTCTTTGCAACCTTCTTTGCTGCGTCTTCAGCCACTATCTGAGACATTGGTTTCGGAGGTAGCTTCAAATCAACCTCCTCTTGGACTATTCGAGGTGCCTCAGCTGGCTTTGCCGACAAAGCGAAGCCATGATTTCAGAAGAGACTTTCAGAAACAGCGTTGAAGAGGTTGCCATAAGATCTAGATTCTTATTGGGCAAGTCCATGGCCCAAACTCTCCTTTGGCCGCTTGGCAGGTCGCTTGGCATTGGGAGTCGATCATAATCATCCTCCTGTAAAGCTGTGAGCATGTGCACAGCCTGTGAACCGGTTTGAACGGAGACGAACGTGCCTCCATCGCTTCCTCCATCAAAGGATATACCTGGGAGACTCATAGACTTCAGGGGCCAAAGGATATGCCAGGCATGTGGGCAAATAGTCTGCCGTAGTCTGCCTCACATTTCCCCACCAATAGTAAATAAATAGATAAATAAAGAAGTAAGTATATATATATATATACATACATACATACATAATACCTGCGTGTGTGCGCTTTCAAGCCTGGGTGCTGTGCCGCTGGAGGGTGCCGCTGCTGTCTTCGCTTGTGAGCTTGGGTGCTGGTGCCGCTGCACGGCGCCGCTGCTGTTTGTCGCTGAGCAGAGTGCACGCCGCTGCGGCTTGCGGCTGCAAGGTGCTGCCCCGCAGAAATCATTTTGCTATCTGGGGTCTGGGGTCTTTGCTGGCGTAACTTCACAAGATAACGTGAGCTATTGGGGTTCTTACTGCAAGTGTAGGAAGAGCTGCGTGTGTGCGTTTTCGAGCTTGGGTGCTCGTGCCGCTGCTGTGTGCGCTTGGGAGCTTGGTGCTGTGTGCCCTTGGAAGCTTGGGTGCTGGTGCCGCTGCAGGGTTCCACTGCTGTGTGCGCTTGGGGGCTGGAGCCGCTGCTGTGTGCGCTTGGGTGCTGGAGCCGCTGCAGGGTGCCGCTGCTGTGTGCACTTTGGAGATTGGTTGCTGGTGTTGCTGCGCGCGTTTTGGAGCTCACGGGTACTGCTGTGACATGTCTTTGCCCCGCTGGAGTGCGCTGCAAAGTGCCTAGCCGTGTGCGCTTTGGAACTTGGGTGTTGGTGCCGCTGCAGGGTACTGGCCGAGGGTACCGCCTGGGTGCTGGCGCCGCTGGAGGGGGCTGCAGAGTACTGCTCTAGAAGTCTTTTTGCTGTTGTCTGGGGTTTATGCTGGCGCATAATAAGTAAGGAGGTAAGCTACTAGGCTAAGTTAGCTTCTAGATAGGACGCGGGATAGCTCACGCTTTTCGAGGAAGCTCCCCCCGCCTGAGGGCGAGAAAAGCTTCCTTGAAGAAGCACTAATGATTTTGTTCCTAGTTTTTTCTTTGAGGGAAACTTACTAGAGCTTGAAGTGAGCCCAGGAGTCTGCGGCCCAAGCAAATTGAGCAACGTTCGCCAAAAGCACGACCCTGGAGTGAAAAACAAAGAGCTGAGCACAGCCTGCCTGCACACGATGCAATCTGGGACAGGAGATCCCGAGAACCTAAGCTCCATGCCCCAAGAAGAACGGCCCGACCTGCTCCCAAGGAATTCCATCTTCCTGGCGGCCAACTGGAATTGCTCTGGAATGCTCTAGATGTTTTGTGCACGTCCATGGGTGAGCCCAAATAAGCCTGAAAGGATGGCATCAATTGTGTTTGCAGATTGAAAGGCTTCCACGGCGACAAAAGCTTGGAGCACGTGACATGTCATCTCGTCTGTTCCATATGGAAGTCGCCTGGAATCTCTACACCTCAACCCCAATGCCTCCCTTGCTCCATGTCTCTCGACCCTAGTCTCTTTCTTTCTTAACATCGCAGCTGTCCCCCGTGTCTTACATTTCAGATGGTCCTCTCGTTCTCCGTTTGCTGCAGGAAGATCCAACAAGTGCTGTTCTTCAGAACATGCCTTTAAATATGATCAAGGACCAAGAGAGCAATGGCCAGTTGCCTCGATTGCTGCCTGTGCTTCTGCGATGATATCGGAAATGATGTTGAAAGCGGAACCTTTGCAAAAGAGCACATTGTGAGAAGACCTTCACAGTGGCTGTGATGTGCCTGCCCACAAAAGCACCATTTTGGCCACCATGTCACCAAACTCTGTCTCGCTGCTTCGCAGCAAAGAAACAAGCTCAACTAGTCATGAAGGTACTATCCTTCCTTGAACCCTGTTTTTCCAAAGTTTCGCACCCCTTGCCAGAACTGAAGATAACTAGCTTAGGAACCGCCAATTGAATGTTGACCCTTCGAACCGAATACAAACACTGTCGTTGAACATACCTCCAGACTGAAAACGCAAATTCAAAGCAGCTTCATGTTGTGAAGTGCTTCCAAGACCGTTGTGGACATGTTCTGTCCTCATTGGTAAAATATAGATAATATGGCATGCAATCCGGGCAAGGACTATATACATAGGACTGCAGTGTCTCGCGCAAGGACAAACCATGCATACAGCAATTTGCAACATACCATAGAATACCTACTGTCAATGCTGTACAATTCGCCAGGTCTCTCCCACTGTTGATGCAGGTCTGTCCAATTAAACCAATCCATCAAAACTATCTAGTACAGGTCTTGCGCATGGCAACACTGAAAATTGATGGCGTCACTAGAGGGGGTAAATGAATCGATCGAACCGCCGATGTTCAAGCTCTGCGGCTGACCTGGCAGTTGTTTCAATCCAGCAACGCAGGCTTGTGTGTGGGCTGACCTGAACCTTCTTGAATGCGAAGAATCTTTTGGTCGTTAGAAACTTCAATTCCGATAGCAACCAATTCAACACCAAGCATCATCTGTAGCGATCGCCAGCATCTCGCCTGCGCTAAAGTATAAAAGCTCTCTTGCACCCCCAAAGAAGCTCGAAGGCAACTCGCCAACTGCAAAATTGTGATATATCGTTCATTTTGATACAAAAAGCCACCCAAGTGCATGGTTGTATTGACAAGTATCAAGCCTCTGAATGCTCCGGGTCAACTGACACATCATACTGGCCTAGGAGATGCTGAAAAAAACAAATGTTATTACATCACCGGGAAACAAGCATGATCTGGGTGATAGAAAGGAACAAATAAGGGTTGAGGTCCTGCTCATTAGTTGAGGTTTTGAGTACAGGACCAATGCAGCCGAGCATCCTGAGCATGTGTTCCGAATTCCTATTGATGCTTCTTCCAGCTTCGTTCTTAATAGCCAATCTACAGCGTCCGTAGCTGCAATCAGGCGCTGCTTCTTAAGGAGAAGCTGGTCCACATCCTTTCCAGTGAACATCCAATCGAGTGACTTGTCAGTGCCCTGTTAGTGAATATATGATTGAAAACATTGCATACGAGCAGAACAAATATCAACACGTGTGGATTCAGGTTGTTAATTAGCATTCGCTGTTGGATGTGTTTGGTAGTTCTTGTGCAAGGCAAATGCTTCATGCTTCTCAACACGACATACTCCTGAAGCAGCTTGGACATGCGATCTTTCCCTAGATCTGCAACAGGCTGAGCTGGCGGTGCATCACTGGCGCTAGACTCATCAATTCTCTGAAGAAGTGTTGGCAACTGTGACGATAGCAGGTTGTCTGCAATTGGTGATCTTGCAACACCACACATGCTTTTGTTTTGAGAGGAAAACTGGGCTGGGATGGTAGGCTGGGATGGCTGGGCCACGGCGCTGCCGAAGCATGGGGATCCTTCTGGCTCATCCTGGAGGCATCGAATCTCGCTTTGCAAGGCACTAACCGCCTTGACAATTTGTTTCACCTGCTCGTGCAAGTGATTTTGATTGTTTGAGAGATTGCTGACCATGTACTTCACAAAGTGGCTTGCAGTCTTGCTCTCTCGCATCCAGCGGCTCAATGCCTTTGTCGAGGTAAAAACACACACACAGATGCACATATATACACACACTTGCTGCTGACCCAGGAGCCCAAACAACAGAACCGGCAAATAAAAGTAACTCACCGAAGTGTCAAGCTGCAAATTTGAACTCATCCTTGCTGATCGAGCCACCTCCATCTTCATCAAGTATATGAAAAAGCCTTGCACAACTGTGGATTGCTGAAGCCCTTACCCCCCTGAGAAACAAGTAGTAAGCTGGAATTTTCAACATTGCTTTCAGAGTATCCTACATTTTCCACAATGCCAAGTCTCTGCTGTGAAGATGCTTCAGCATGACTGCACATATCACACAACCTAAACCTAAACTTGTTGTTACATGGGATGCCACATGTCATTGGTGTCGTGCCCAGTAACTGCTCCAACTCTGCAGCATCAATATCCATGACACGAAGGCGGCTTGCAAACTCCGGCACACTCTCTGCCCCTGTAACTAGCTCATCCAAACTCAATTCACCATCTTCGTTGAGGTCAACCTGTTTGAAGACACGACCCAAAAGCTTCAGGTCTTCTTCAAGTTCGTAGTCCAAATCTGCTGCCAGCGTGGTTATGTCCTTCTCTCGCTGCTCAACGGCAGCATCGACAATTACCTTATATATTGATCGAATGACATTATCACACAGAACCACAGTGGGACATCTTCAGCACATGCAGGCAAGGCACAGCGACGATCAAATTCAGTATCCCGTATACTATGAAGACCAGCGCACCAGCAAAAACGATAATTGTGAGCGGCTGCTTTCTCATCACCGGCACTGCAACCTCTCCCCAGCTGTCTCCAGCTAGCATTGTTTTGAGGAATGTCAAGTTGGATTGCATGATGGTAGCAAAAGACTCTTTGCAGCCCTCGCAGTCACTCCAAACTCCTTCAGCGGAAAGTTCTTGAACTATTGGATGCAACAATTCGACAGCAACCATTGACCAAAGAGTCATGGCAATGAAGCAAAACAGGAACGACCAGGCCAATGTTCTTATAACGCTTGCAAACATCATCATCAGCTTCCGTAGCTCTCGCAATGATGGAGCTTTGCGAATAAAGCGGATGAGTCGCATCACCCGACATATCCTCAATAACTTGAGAATGCGGACCTCCTCTACAGCACTTCCCAAGATAAGGAAAACCACTTCCGTCAATGAAGCTGTGATGATTCCAAAGTCCAGAAGCCAATCCAAAGAGCGAAACACTTGCTTCCCTTTCAGCGCGAAGTCTGCAGTTGCTTCCCACACGTAGAAGCACAAGCACCCTGCCAAGAAAAAACTATTGAGTGGCTTTTGTCGGCAAATACAATAGCCTCCTCATAGCAAGAAGAAAAGGGGTAGGAAGGGGAACGTAATCCTTTAAGACATAGTAAAAACATGTAAAACTGCTTGTTGCGTGTGGTGTGTAGTTATTGAATTCGTCAGACATCTTGTCCAAGGCCTTGGCATGTGAGGAAAGCCCAAGTGGGAGCAGTTGCTCCAGAAGCACGCAAGTCGATGTCCACGCAAGTGAGAACCATGTCGGTCAAAACAACCTGAGGGCCATTGAACTCAAATCCTTTAGCTGAGGCCCATTGAATCCCGTTGATGAACACAAGCTGGGCCATACTAAGTCTTGGACCACGCCAGAGAGAAGATCGACGCAAGTGGATTCCAAGCACTTGGCCAGCAGCTTGATCAGCCGTCCTCCAATTCCTTTTTTATGCTTGACCGACTCACGCTCGAGATCTCGCGTGGCAGTCGACGATTTGATGAACTTCTTCTTGGGCTTGGAAGGGCTTGATTGAGCTCTGTCACTCTCTCCCTTCCCTTTGGCGCTGTTGAACGAGGCTCCGCTGTCTGAGCTCTGAAATGATGCACATGGCTCCATGCATGGCTCCATTGGAGTACTTGGGTGTGGAGATGACTCCGCTTGGGAAGGAATCATTGAGCCTTGAACAAAAAGGCACCAACCACAAGCTGTCAGAACCATAGATAGTGTTCCTCTGCCCACAGAACATGCAAACAGCACTGCACTCAATGAGCCTATGTCCCCTTGGAAAATGGCGTCTAGAGCCTGCCGAACAACAAACATGAGCACATTCAACTCGTTGATAAATGCAAACTGCCTCCTTTACCAAATCCCGCACCATTGCGGAGGGCTCTGCATCCTTTGGAACGACCTTGCTGCATCACCCAAAATAGCAATCGCGATTTCGCATTCAGCGTCTGAGTTGGCCAATGCTTTCAGCGCGGCGCAGGAGGTCGAATATCTATAGGTTCCTCAAGCAAGTTCGCCTGGACACCAGCAGCTTTCAGCTTTTCTGCAGCTGCCTGCAGCGAACTTGTTGAAATCAAGGAGGACTGTGTCTGCACAATTCCTCTTGACTTATGCCAACTAAACAACTTCGTTCCGGCCTTAGCTTCTTCTGCTGTTGCGTACAGACCTTCTGATTTGACTTGACCGGAAAACGTGCATGCATGAAGTAGATGAGACAGGGTCAAGTTACTTACATGCAGGGTTCTCGTTTAGCGATGTATATTGTTCACATATACACACACACATACAGAGAACAAGTCACAAACTAGGTTGTTGCATCTTGCTTTACATTGAGAATACTTCCACAAATCAAGGAACTTCCTTGAGTTCCTGCCTTTAAGCACAATTTTACTGTACCTCAAATGAAAGCACAAGCTTCTGCTTCTGAGTATCCAGCTCTTTTTGGGTAAGCCTTGCTCCTCTGCCCATGCTGCGGCCTCCATGGTGCTTTGCTGCTGGAGTAAAAGTGAACGACTCGGGAAGTGGAAAGCTAACGGAACGGGCATTTTGACTCCAGCACTTCCAATAGCACACAATTCCACTGAGCATCGACGTCCCAGAAATGTGGGTCAGCTGACCTGAGACCACCAATGCAGGGCTCCAAATGCTGGCAAAATTGACCGACCTGTGATGTGAGGGCTCAAAACGAAACAGCTGCAAACTGACAAACCATGCAAGGAACATGTTGCTTAGAATAGTTTGCTGTTCATTTAGAATCGATTGATCCAATTCCACACTGATGTGTACCCCATCACACTCCTCCAAGCTGCCTGGTACCGGTAGAGCTCTCATGGGACTGGGCACAGCTTTAATTGAGTCCCTTCTTGTCAGCAATGCTTGCCAATGAATTTCTTTGGCCGCGGCATAAAGGTTCTCCTTTGATTGTCTGAGGCCTTTTGCACAACTTGCAGTGGCTCTGGCCACTGGGCCAATGAGTGTGCTAAATGAACTAACCCCTGCTGAGCCCTGGACACAAAGCGCAACTGCAAAAACCAAGGCCAAAGAGAGGCCTCGAAGTGACCGCCTCGGCCTCAGCCTGGCGTGTTAACTGGCCGGCTTGGATAGTTTGCATGGCATGACTAAAAAGTGTGCAAAGTGACATTGCCCCACCTACAAGCCCTGTGAAGCGGCCACATGGCCCTCAGCTCGAAACTTGAATGGCTCCAAACATCCGTTTTTGCTCCAAACGTCTGAGATCGTGGCACACGTAGCTTCAGGATGCTTGAAGCTTCAGTAGGGTTTCAGCAAGCCAGCAAAATTCCTCTTTGTCTGCACGTGAGTGGAGGTGTTTGTTTTCTTGTCGCAGCATGGTTGACCCGGTTATGCCCAAAGAAGCTGCCAGCATCGGAAATCTGAGAGCAACTTTCTCCTTGCTGTCATTTGGTGTTGCTTGACTTCCAACCATTAAATGAATGCACGACAGCTACGGGAATCTTCTTGCTGGGTTGGACGCACCTAAATTCATCTAAATTCTAGCCTGTCAGGCACGGCCAAAGAGCAGCAGCTTGAAACAACCCACGAACAAAGCTGAGGCAGAATCTGAATCTAAGGACGCTGGTGGTTCATTGAATAAACAATCTATTGAATAAACAATCTACCAGCTTATGCTATCTTCTAGCCTCCGGAGAACATCTTCTTTCAGGATTCAGTCGAGCACAGCTGGGCCTGCACTGCTGATGTCAACGCTTTTCTTCGCAGGGTGAGCGGTAACATTTTGTGGTGAAGAGCTGCAGCTCGCAAGCTCTGCTTCTTGACTCTGGGGATTCCAGGTCATTCCGAAGGTTGTTCTGAGACTATTCTTTTCTTCCTCCACTTTGGCCACCTGCATGTTCTTGTCGGACTCCACGGAGTCCTTCCAAAACCGAGAGAAGCAAACTAAAAATCCTTGGCATGTTCGGCCTCTGATCGGGCATTGGGGCTGACTGTGCCAATCATCTGCACTAACTGGAGCTGGACCTAGACTTGAAAAAGCAGCAAGCGCTTGCAGGTAAAGCTGGTACCAGTTGTACAGTTCTTTGCTTTTTTCCGACCTGGTCGTTGTGAGGCTCGGCCTTGCAGCTGTTTCAGCCAAGTCATGAAATGAAAAAAAAATGGCAGTTTGAATTACAGTACGCTCTTACTTCATTCGGCAAAACGTTGGCCCGCACATCGACGCTGATGCTTTCGTCCAAAAACCTTGCTGCACCATCATGTCACTTGCATTCGCGAATCGAACAACATGTAACAAGTCTGCATAAACTATTGCTATTAGCTACTAGGGCTCCTGGCCTTACTACTAGGAGCAAGGACGCTACTAGGGGCTCCTGGCATCGCTACTAGGAGCAAGAAGGCTATTAGGTTCATAAACTGTATAATCCGTTTCGCTGCACTGTTTGATGCATGGAGCACTCCCACAAACGAGGTGTTGACCAATGGCTGCAAGCTGCGCCCAGCCCACAAAGAACTGCCTGGTCATCCACATAAATATGAGCATGTGAATCTTCGGAAAAGGGCAAGCCGTGCTGCACCTGCGTGAACATGATCACTGGAATGCCGTAGTCCTCAAGCCTTAAAAACATGGCGACCTGTGTCAAAATCAACCCGTTGGATTCTTTCACCGTGATTTCACCCTTGCGTCTGTGGAGTTATAGGGAATATCATGAGTCCTTACGATGTATTCTTTATATATAATATGCAAGGTCTTATCCAGCATGAGCATGGTAAAATAAGAATCATAGTCTTGTGTAGCAGTGTAGTAGAGGAGCGGAGGTGCCTCACTTTCGCGCACATCTCGAACTCAGATCGCACACACGTCTTTCAAAAACACTTCGTCCATCGTCAAGCATCACTTTCGCACGCACTCCCATGCCACATGCGAACACACTACTTCTATCTGAGATGTGGGACTTGTCAAGGATTACAGGTCTGATACGTTGCGACTTGTGTGTGCAGGGTGGGTGGTGGTGTGGTGTGGGGGAGGGAGGGGTGGGGCTAATAGCATGATTGGTTGATGGCCACAAAATCACAGCTTACATCTGTGCAGAACCGATACCTTTCAAAGCTTGCTTCCGGCAGCCTACACACATTTCTCTGTGATATCTGAGGATTGCCATGGCTTGCAGGCCTGTAAACTCTGTTGATGTCCCGGTTAGTCTGAAACCTACAGGCTTCTGGTACACTTTCACGGCTGTTGAGCTTGCACGTGATCCACTTTTGTTTTACTCAGACTTGCACGCATGCACAACTGAACAAATGGACCCCATGCAAAAGCGCGACCGATTCTGCGTGCAACAGTGAGAGACCTCGAACAGGAGGAGGTTCTGTGAGGTGATCTGCATATTTATACAATCATAATCTCATCAAACATGGGATTTGTAGAAAGAATAACAGCATTGTATGATAAGGGTTGGTTTTGGAGAAGGCAGAATGCTCGTATGTAGGTGTAAGTTCCATAAAGGATGGCGTGCTTCTTTGGATGTGAAGGCACTTAAAAACCACATTTTGAATCTTTTGAATATTTAATCATTAGAAAGAAAGATATTGTTACCAATCTTCAAACTTGTTTTTTATTAGGCTGGAAGTGCGTCATCTAAAAGTTTAAGGAACAAACTCTACACATGTCAAATGATCATACGCAACATCAAAAGTGCTAGACAAGTGCACTGCCACAGCCTCCTGGACTCAAAACAAACAGGTTGGCATACAGGTACCCGAGACTTCGGGCGGCGTAATATGGCGTAATCAGATAGCAAGGTCTAAATATGGCAATGTCAAAAGATCCTTCTATGACAGGCACAACTAAAATAAAACAAGTCCATTCATGTCCATTCCATGTCTTTGGCCAAAAAGGATCCTTGGGGCCCGGCGCAGGGAAAAGTATCGTTCCCACCATGGCTCCTACTTTGGCAGCCTCAGCTGTCCCATAGTCGGTTGGACATTGGTGGGAAGTCAAGACCCAAGCAGCAGCTGAAATACCGTGGAAGGTGGATCTAACCTGACAACGTTGCTCACCATCACGTTGAATCCGGGTTGTTGAGGCATGCATATAGTGAAACGCGCTGAGATGTTGGCATTTCGAGGAAAAAGGAGGACGGGCAGCATGAAGGTGGCGATGTTGGGCAGTGAAAGCGCCAAACTGTCAATGAGCATTGCAGCATTACTGTCAAGCCGCTCCGTTTGGTGGGCCAACGCTGCAGCTCATTGCCCATTTCCAAGACCACTGCATCTTGCAAACAAAGCACTTGACCGCACACAAGAGGCAGAACTGAAGGGTATGCCAATCATGGCAGTATCGATAGACCTGACTGACACCGCAACACGACTATACCTACACAACCCGTACTGCTCTAGCTTGACTTCCACAACAGAATCTCAAATCTTCTGAGGCAATTGCAGAGGCGAATGCCGTGAAGGCTAATCCACACAGTGCCTGTCTTCGTCAATGAGATTGAGTCATTGACAATTCCAAAACGAATCAAGCATATGATGGACAAGACAAGCTATTAGGATCGAGGCCATCGCTGTTAGGTTGGAGGCCATCGCTCTTAGGTTGGAGGCCATTGCTATTAGGTTGGAGATATGGACAAGACAAGCCCAGGAAGGCAAGACCCATGGTGTTCAGGGCTTTGGCACCAAGCCGCGGAACTACCTTGCTCATTGCGTCCATCTATTGCTCAGCAAGGGGTAAAGAGGTGTGACCAACCCCTAAAAAATCCTAGGGACAGGAGTCAATTGGTTGAATCGATCAATTTCTTGATACGCTCAGTAGTGATTAGCAGTAAGGAGCAAGTAAGTCAAGTCCAAGATCTCAAGCCGCAAGGCAAAAACAACATACATCAAGCAACTGAGTCCTTCGGGGGTCCTTGAGGTTGAGACAGCTAGACTACCGGCATTGCCAATGATCGTGACCTCAGGTATTTGTCTCAATGCCATTTCGAGGTTACACAAACTGACATGTTGGCATACTCCTAGTGTACTATGTAGCTTGCTGTGATCATCGCTGCAGCCTGAATTGATAGCATTGGCAAGGACCTCACTTTCTGCACCAGTCACGATCAACATGTCAAAAAAGACCTTGAGAAAGACAGAGAGAAAGAGAGAGAGAGAGGTCAAATTTGTTCCAAATGGCTCCATCTCTCCAAAAACCTTCAGAAGGATGGTGGGAGAGAAAATCACCTGCGCAGTTTTCACACCGGCTTTCTGGAAAGTCTGCTGCCTGTAGATAGTACATGCGACAAGCAAATACAAGCAGCAAGCATCGTCCAGCTTTTGTCTGTTCAGCTGATGCTGCTCATTGTTGCTCTATTTCCTTTGCCACTACGGCTCACTTTGGACGACCGGCAATATGGCAATTGCCTAGAGCTGCAAAAGCCTCGAAGCACAAGGAAACTAACTAGTGAACATCAAACTCTACCCACGCTGCTTCGTCAGTTCGTCAGGTGAAGTGTAAGGTTGAGTATTTCAGTGTGAAGATTGGCCTGTATTTCGCTGCACTGAGCTGGCAAGAAGGTGCAGTTTTTGGCATGTTCCGAATTCGAGAGGTGTTTTGATGGATGTTACAACATGTTACAAACGCAAATTATGCACGCCATATTATACTGTAGTTTATGTGCAGCATGTTGCAGCAATGTTGACGTTGTTCAGGCCTGGTCAAGACTGGCTTTGGGGTCTACTTTCTGAATATACTGGCCAAATTTAGACCTGCCAGCAGTGCACGTTCTCTATTGAACTTTGAAGGCTCTGAAGCCCACACTGGTTTGTCCAGCAGCTGCAAACTTCTAAACAATCAAATATACGGGGGGCGGGGACCACACAGTGAAGCGGCAGAAATAGGAGAACTATGGAGAACTTGAAGTGCTTACACATTGCTTCTGTCCTTACGCGCGCGCACACACACACACATTCACCTCACATTCTTGCTGCTGTCAGGCGTCTGTCTTGAGGTCAAGCTCTCTTCGTCAGGACTGGCACTGTGCTCAAGCCCTTCCTGCAAGATTTTGAAACCATTTGAGCCGTTCCAAATCTCTTGAGATGCTGTGCCAATTGATTTGTGTCTTTAGTGAGCGTTACTCCGTTTTTTTTTCTACACTCTTGTACATAAGAGATTCGTTCGAGATACAGCTACAGTCTCCTTGAGTCGTCCCACTAAAATCCAAAAATCAGCCTTTTGGCTCTAAGCCCATCTCCTCACTGGCCGCAGAAGGGTCCACATGTTGAGTGCCGGCAGGACTTGGAAGTGGACGGCTGCTGAGGATACAAACAGCGCAAGCCCGATAGAACTCGAGGAATTGACTCCAGGCCCTTAACCAACCTGGCCACAAAGCCTCTCCTCTACGTCTCTCATCCTTGTCTCGCTCAGCTAGTGTCTCCATTGCTGTGTAGCAGCGATGGAAAATCTCCCAGGGGTCCACAGAGTCGAACTGTCGAAGCTTTTCGACAAAGTCTGCGAGGAGGCAAAAGAAGGAAGGAAACTCAGAGGGAACGAGCAACGTATTGAGCCCTGCACTCAAAGCTGCCACAAGTGGATCAAGTTTTGATGACCTTAATTTCACCAGTCTGCCTCCACGAAAGAAGGTCATACTTGCTCCTACTAAACCTGAAACCCGGCTTTCGTCACCTGGGAGTGTTGTTCCACTTGGAGCTCCTCCTGACACACTATGCTGCGAGCCATCTTTCTGAGATTGATTCATCTCCATCCCTCTCTGCTCCATGTCTTGAATCAGGATGGACTTGAAATCGTTGAACCGCGGTCCTCTAGAGATGGTCCGAGTCACTAGAGATTGACTTGTAGAACACGGGAAAAAAACACGCGAGAATCAAAAACGCTTGTGTAAAAAGCCTACACATACTTACCAAGGCACTTAAAATGTTCTTGTCTAGCTGCTGCAGCTGATCTTGAAGGCTTGTGTCAAGCACTGACCGCCTGGAGCATTGTGATCCTGTTGACTTTGCACTGACTTGGCGTTCGCTGTGCCGTTCGTTTCCAGAAGTGTGCACAGCGCTTGTGTCCTCGCCAACCAAGATTGAGAGCAGTCTGGAGTTTGGCGCCTCTGTACAGCTAGCGGGCACACCTCCCACAGCCAGCAGGATTGCAGCAACGTCTTCAATGTGCTCTGTCTGCAAAGACCTAGAGAATTTGCTATTCAAGTCGAACTTGTTGAGGAGGAGAAAACTCAAACTCCTGTATCGCCAGCACAAGGGCTCTTGCAATGCCTCCATTTCTGGAACTAGAAGCCTTCCGGCTGGATATGTTGCTTCCGCCTCTTCTGGCCGTGAGCACGAACATGCCGCGTGTTCAAGCCAGCGACACACACGCTGCAAATTCATGACAATTCGAGCAACTTTCATTGAACGTTGTTCGGTAGTGCGGGCAATTTGATCAATTTCAAACATTGCTTTCTTGTCTCCGCCCCCCTGCAGCTTGATGTTCAAGACACTTGGTTGCCGGAGAATTTCACGAACTATCTGATTGTCCAAACTGTAGTACTTTCGCAGAAAAATCTGACGCACCTCGCGTGGGAGCTGTACTGGACAAATTTCCATGAAGTGGATCGGGTCAGCGAGAGCCTCTTCCAAAAACTCAAAGGCTTCGTACTGCTGAGCGCAGTCTTGCGACAGAAGCGCGAGGCAATCCTCGTTTAACTCTTGATTTGTTTTCACACGGCCGTGTGCAAGGCCGCCTGCAACTGCCAATGCTGACTCCTCAATATCCCTCCATCGAACATCAGTCGCTTCATGGACTGAATAGCCTTCCACCCACAAGTCCAAAGTTCCCAAATCCACGGCAAATGGGTCTTCCGTAATTAGGAAGAAATCCCGTTGCCATTGCCCTGCCATAGACGGGTTCCCTCCATGTACTGCCGAACTATCTCACATTCCTTGTAAAGGTTTCTTTTCTTGTTTTGCTAAACTGTTTGCTGTAAAGAATGCCCACAAGGGCAAACTGCCACAATTGTAGGTCTGATTTCGGAGTAGCGCCCAAACAAACGAACTGCTAAACAATGTATATAAGTTGTCTGTTCTCACAATTGTTCTTGTTACTGTTGGAATTGTGGTTTTCCCCTCAGCAGCACGAACATCCACCAGCACTAGAGCACTAGCAACCAAGAACTTCAAAAGACTAAATAACATGCAAAGGAAGCGCATGTGATGTCAATCAAACATAACCTCAATTTGCTAGCTGGCAGACTTTTTCCTTTGACAGCGGTTTGAAAACGATGGCTGCGTTTTGCAGTCGCTTCTATGTGGAAGTAAGGGGACTGTTTCAGACGTGACTACATTACACGGCACCCTCGGTCTCGGCTTGTGTGCAAAGCAATCCTGAAAAAGTGGCGTTCCACTTCACTGGGGCTGCGGAAGAAATCAGCAAGTTTCCGCAAAAAACGAACGGCAATACCCTACCCAAATGATCTTTTCGGGATCTTTGGATGTCAGGCTGCAGGGTTTGGAGTTCAAAGGCCTCACCGGCTTGCTTGAAAATCTATATGCAGAAAAAACAAGTCATTTTGCCGGGCAAACAACACACCACAAGGGTGAGGTGGGGGGGCCTTAAAGAGCCCGATGCTGCGGTGAAAATTGATAGGTTCTGTGCTTAATTATGAGGACATTAATCCCAGCACAGCCACCGATCTTTTTTCACGCGTTGCAGCAAGTTTGTCCAAGAATGGAGCACCTTCAGGTGCCGGAACATGAATTCCTTCCTCTTGGGGCCCCAGCACCCACCTTTCCAGCCCCCTGGGCCCGAACACTTTAGAGGAAAACTCCCTGGTTTCTCTCTCGTTCAGGAAGCCCTTTTTTGAGGGGTTTTCACCGCAACCCCCAACATGCAGAAAAAACAAGTCATTTTGCCGGCTTTCCGCGTCCCCCTGATCTGGGAGCCTTCCGGGTCCCAGGCTCAAGGATCGGGCGCTGAAAGTAAAAAGAGGTGTAAGTCCGCAACCGCGAATTAGGGACCTGCATTTCGGACAATTGTGCTAATCCTTCGTTGAGATATATTCGCGCGGTTTTTGCTGCGGCCCACCGGCCTTGAAGCAGCAATTTATCAAAACTTCCGTGGTGCTGGAAGAAAAAAGTCGCTCCTCCTCGCCGTAGCGAGTAAGGGCGGAGAGCAAGTTCAGTGAGGTTCAGTCCTTCCATGGCCTGGTTAAAAGTTCGTCGCCAGGCATGTGGCTTGGTGGTTAAAAAGGAGTTGGCAGAACTGCGGCGTTTCCAACTATACAGCGAAGGCAACACTGACGCGTCATGAATGGTTACACTCTCGCTGGCCCCTTGACGGGCCCCGGATTTAGTTAGCCCAAGGGAAATAACAGCCGGACCTTTAGGGCTCGTAATGTACACGTCTTTTGAAGTCAAGCTTAAAAGTTCCCCGGTGCGCAGTAATCCAAAGAATGCAACCCGCAGTGAGAGCCCAAACCCAGGCAACCCTTGCGTGACACTCCAGCCACAGAGTGCATCAAGCACCGCGAGCGTCATTGGCGGAGCCCTGTTGGGGATTTCCGCAGTGGACCATGCCTTCAAGAGGCGCCAACTTCCCGGCAGTTTTCGTCGAAGATTTGGGTCAAAGTCTTGCAGCGCCGCGAGGGCATTATTGGCTTCCGACTTGCCATGTCCTTCTGCCCACAAGTATTCGAGGTAGTCGCTGACCAGGTTGTCCATCTGCGCCGCCCGAGTTGGGAGAACAAGGCCCTCCCGTCCCAACCAGGAGAAGAACTGCTGTAGACTGACTTCATAGCGCTGGCGTGTGCGAGGTTGTACTGTGAGATCTTTCAACTTACCAAGATTCTTTCTAATCGCTTTCCTTTGCTGCTGGCTCTGGTGTTTTCTTACCCATTTTCGGTGGAGTGGCCGGCGCGACGGCTTGTCGGCCGGGTTCTGGTGAGTATCAATGTACCCCCAGGTACCTTGAAGGCCACTGGCCAACAGCAATGCGGAAATCTTGGCAAGGGTCCTGCGTAGTTTGCGGGAACTGGACCTTTTTCTGGAAAGAGCATGTAGTACAACCAATGAATCGACTAGGTGCAAGAACCGCGTTCGTTGCTCTTTAAGCTCAAGAATTCTCCAGGCCAAAGAGGTCTTCGCGGCCCGGAGTTCAAGGACGTTGATGTGTCAGGCTGAACCAGTCCATTGCCACCCTGCAACTTCACGCCGCCGCCAAAGCTTCCAAGGAATGGACGCAC